TTTTCATTTACAAAATTGCAATAGTAATATAACTAGCAAATCAATATTGCAGAAAGGATTACTTGAATTTAATAAACTAAATAATGATATAAAGTCTACTTGTAATTTAAAGATATTTAAAAGAAAATTAAAGGAATATTTCATGGACAATGAAAATTCTTAGAGATGCAAATTGTTTTTTTTTCTAAATATCTGTATGTTAAGTAATTGTTTAGTTTTTTAGAAGAATGTAATTGTAGCGATCATCCTAAATAAATTTTAAACACACAAACAAACTAACTAAACCTAATTAGAGGAACTGAAGCACTGATGCTAGATTGTATCTCTCTCTCTCTCTCTCTCTTTGAAACAACCAACTGACTCGGCATGTTACTTGCTGTGGCAACTTACTATATTCCCTAAGACCCCATATACAGGACTGAATTCATTGTTCAATTCATATTAGTTTTTTTAAATGGACTTCTGGTGTTAGGAGACTGAATTTCGGTGTTTGTTCACAGGTGATCAGCTAAATAATTTGGCAATATTCCTTTTACAATCTTGTAAAATAAATATCATGGTAGATAAAAAAGCATGTTCATTCATGGATAACCACTGCACAGCACTTTGTATGCATTTAATTCTTATGTATCATTGCAATATTCTCCGAATTTTCCTATATTGTAGTTTTTTTAGTGTGCCTATTTTGTCCTTACTGAAGAAATACAATAAAGATAAGTAATTTCGGAAATAGAGCTTTATGATTGTATATACATATTATGTATATTGTCTACATTACAGTGTCCCAAACAAAATTTTAAGTTCTTTTTTTCAAACCCATATCCTCTATTTTTTCCATTTGACTCTAACAACTCAAAACAAATATAATTGCGATCGGGGAACGATAAACCGGTCAAACTTTGAATTTGAAAGTTAATAGGGAAACCATGTATGGATTTCAAAACCTAATTCTTATTTGACAAATCAAACACTGCTTCATTTGTACATTATATTTCTTAGATATTTATCATTAAAAGAACATTTACTAAATTTTCTTTTCAAAGTTTCCTTTGTACAGTCAGAGTAAAGTTAGTAGTGGATCAACGGAAGTCAGGTGATAGAGGGCCTCAAAACGTCAAAACATATCGAGTGAACCCCTATATGCGTGGTCTGAAATTTTATAGTACAGGAGATATTTGCAATTTTGTGAAATTTCGGAAAAAACGGGATAATGAATCAATCGCCATTACAACTAAACCGTTGGGTTTAGAGATGTTATTTTGTTATGGTTATGTCACTTTTTAACAGAGCTAATTAGAAATCAACGGGAAAAATCTTAAATTCATCTTTTTGTGAAAAATCTCTTCCATCCCTCAATTTTGGAGGGCGGTAAGAAAATTGAGGTTGTATTTCATTATTCATTTTATTGTAAAAACTATTCCAATCCATGTAGAATAAACCCTGAAAATTACAGCTTGCTACGATAAGTGCCTCAAAAGTTGTATGCTTGACGCAGGTGGGTATCTATACATGTAAACAAGAAATTATATTTTAGGAACGACAGTCCAAACGACTTGATGGATTTTGACATATGAGGTACTGTTAATTCGTCCCAGCAGTGCGAGTGATACTGTGTGTAATAACATTTTGTAAAATAAAAATGGTAGATTTTTTACGCAAATAGCCAAATCAGCTTAATGAGCTTGGGCATTCAACTCGGCATTCCAGGTGCGGGAGCGTTCAATCTTCGGTTTGACCGAAACTACTAAGTCAGACAATGGTCCAGCGCGCAATTTGTATCTAACGTTTGGTATCTGAGTAGAATCATGTCATATTCTCCGCGAGATTATGCAGAAATGCATTGCTATTATGGTGCTACCCTAGGAAATGCTCGAGCAGCTGCTCGCATGTATCGGAAGTATGTGGTTAGATGAGGTGGACCACAACCGGCGGTATATCCCGACTACCGCGTTTTTCTACGCATCCACAATGCGTATATGGGGTGCCGCATACTATGCATTCATTGTCAGCTAGGAGCGCCGAGGATACGCCCAGAAGAAATAGAAGATATAATAGAGGCAGCCGAGAGAGATCCCTCTATAAGCATCAGAGCCATTGCCCGAAGCAGAAACAGATCCCATACTTCAGTGCACACAATACTACGCTCGGAGAACATCCTTACCATGTACAAAAAGTACAAGAATTGCTTCCAAGTGACTATGCACAACGGGTTGAATTTTGTGAGCATATGTTGAGGTGCGAAGAGGATGAAACTTTTTTTGCCAGCATCTTATGGACAGATGAATCCAGCTTAAACCGAAATGGAATATTCAACATGCACAATTTCCATTCATGGAGCGAGGAAAATCCACACGCTATTCGCCGACACAGCTTTCAACGTCAGTTCGGCGTTAATTTATGGGCTGGAGTACTCAACAAAAAATTTATTGGACCATATGAATTGCCCGACAGGTTGAATTGTCAGTCATGTCTTGCTTTTCTCCAAAGCCGTTTGCATGAGCTGCTAGAGGATGTACCTTTGGACGTTCGAAGCCGCATGTATTTTCAATGCGATGGTGACCCATGTCACTTTGCAGGGATTGTACGGCATAACTTAGAGCCCTTTTCTGGGCGTTGGATAGGTAGAAGGGGACAAATACGATGGCCTCCAAGGTCACCCGAAAAATGAATTTAAGATTTTTTGGTTGATTTCTAATAAGCTCTGTTAAAAAGTTACATAACCATTGCTAAAATTAGCCATTTAGCTCATCTCAGAAAAAAAATCATAACCCTAAACCTAATGGTTTAGTTGTAATTGCGATTTAAAGATCATTATCCCGCTTTTCTCGAAATTTCACAAAATTGCAAATATTTCCTGAACTATAAAATTTCAGACCAGACATATAGGGGTTCATTCGATATGTGTTGAGGCCCTCTATCACTAACTTTACACCGTGTATAAGAAGTGTTTGAGCAACGTCGACAAGAGTTTGTTACGAACTTGGCAAATATGTTTGATATTGCATATGCCAATGCCCTTCAAATGATGAAAATAAATGAAGAAAGGATCTTCTTGCAGCTGCAGAGAGAGCCAGGTCGACCTGGCCATTTAGCAGGGGTGAAAAAGAAATTAAGAAAAGAAAAGGCGCGTCTTAAGAACACCGAAGAAAAAATTCGTGAACTACATAGGCTCCTTCCTTAACTCCTTCGACATCATCTTACGAACCAGTGCAAGAAAATTCATCTTCAGATTCTGCAGAAGATTTAGAAAAAACTTTGCCTATCCAAACTCAGCACACAGTACCATGTAGATTTTTGCCCCTTAACTAGGACCCAAATCATCACCTATATCATACTGACTGCACAGATGCAAGCTAGATGAATTTTAAATCTATTATTTGAATGTCATAAAAATTTCAAATATGAACAGATTTAAGGTCTTGGTCCTATGGATCAGTGGTGATCTGCCCAATCTACATGATTCCAATCAAATCTGAGCATGATCTATGTATATACTTATAGCTCATATAATTCAACTATTCAACAGCTCTACAGCTTAGCAGTGTAACAACATAAGAAGATAGGGCTCTCCCCAGAGAAAAGTTATGAAAAGATCATTCTTTTCAAAGGGTGTTAATAACATTTTTGAATGCACTGAATAGTAATAGCATGATACTCAAGATCCTCTTCTTTTACAGTTTAATAAGGTTAAACTGTTCTGAAATAAAGTATAGTCTCAAAGCAAACTATTGCCCCTCTATAACTGCCTCAGTCCATCAATGACCTCAAAGTATCCCAGAGTAGTAAAAATTTGTAGTTTGAGAATCATGAGACTCCAATTCATCACCTCAACTTTCCAATAGTAGCTTTGTAGAGACATTTTTTTTATTTTTGACTGGCTGATCATACTTTTTGGCAATGTACATGAGATAACTCAAGGAAATGATCAAATTGGTCTTATACTGTAGGCCAGACTTTCTTAAAGTGGGGTATGTGTACCACTAGGGATATGCCAGTTAACCATAAGTGATGCTCAACAAAATTTACATAATTAGCAGCTTAGCTGATTCACACATGTAATCAGCAAGGCTGCACACACACATTAAATCAATCTCAAAAATATAACAAGCAAAACTGAGGCAAAAAAGATGTTTAATAAATTGCCTCATTTGTTCCATCTCTGAAAAAATTTACTGTTGTTTTGGAAGTCTTATAAGGGTATGTGAAGATGTAAGTTTGAAAAATCCTATATAATTAGAGACTTATAACACATACATGATTGAATACAAGATCATTATTATAAAATTAATGCAGCTTGGAGCATCAACTTCTATTAGAAATACTTACTGTTGTTTATTATTAGAAATAAACAAATACAAATCACATGAGTAAGCCAGCACCTATCATAACATAGTTATCTATTTTGTGCATGCTTAGTATGTTACAATGCTGCATTTATGAATACAAATGCATATACATGATCACTGCTTATATCATTTAACTTCAGAAGTACTCAATAGGCAGGCATGGAGAATTAATTTTTTTAAGGTAATAAAACAAACAATTCACTGCACTGTTGACTCAGTTATGAGATGTTAACAGTTAGTCATTTTGTTACTGAGACACGCCCTTGTTCAATTCCACATTGTTTGGCAATCAATAGATGAATAAAAAATGTACTAGCTCTTACGTAAAATCTGTTGAAAAAAACCGGGAATCCATAATGTGTTTAAAGAGGAACATTTAAAGTTCCGTCTTACAAGTGAGGTTATAGAATAAACCAAAATATTAAATCCGGCAGGGTCCTCTGTTTTGTTCAGTAAAATTAATATATGGAAAAGACCTGGTAAAAAGTTTATAACACGAGTTACAAATTTAACTAGGCAGCTATTCAAAATACGTAGATGAATCAAAATAGGTGTGGCAATAACGGTGTCGAATAATGAATAGTATCTTATCATTTTTTTGATAAGCAAAAGATAACACATGTACTATCTGTAGCATTTATAGTTTAGGCACTGATAAGGCTGGTCAAGCGACATTAGTCATTCAATAAAATTACTTACCTCATTCAGTTTCCCCTTTGATGCCATTTTCAGGAAAACACACCTCACGATGATACCATCCAGAAGTATCAGCTAATTTGGTTTGACAACAATTTTATTAAAAGTACATAAGCCGCTGAGAACTAATCAAAAATTAACTTTAGAAAATAAGTACACAAACACAATTAATGAATAAACGATGGTACACGTTTCAGATTCTAGACAACGGATGGAAGTAAAAACAAAACAGGTATTTATTTACACACTACACATTATATTATAAATATGAAGGTATAAAATTATGCAACAAGTGTTTCAGAGAAACCATCATATTTTTTATTCGAAGCGTCATCTAGCAATAAATACTAACATCATATTTTTCTATAATAATGCTGGTATGACTCGGAAGCACGATTAACAGAGGGCGCACAGGTAAATGTGAGAACTGACAGCAACACATCGCTGATAGAGATGTGCAATTTCTATACTATTCCGTTCCTAATGGTTCCCTGAATGTTCACTAACACGTCATTTTGACAGTTATGAGCTAAGCTAACCTCTAAAAAAAATATATTTTGTGGTGAATATGTAAAATGTAAACATTGTTACCCTATTTTTTAATTTGTCTTGCATTAGTACCAAACATGAAACATATATTCAAAGAAGTCGCTGGTGATAAAAGTGGCCCTTTCAAAATATATTCAGAAATCAATGAAGACTCGCTAAAAATCGTAGTTTTAGAACATTTGAAGGCATGGTCTACAGATGTAAATTTAATAATCTATTGGCACTAAAATCGTAAAGACAGCTTTACATTTCCAGGTGAAGAAAGAACAGATTACAAACTTATCAAAACTGTTAAGTGTCGATCCTGAGAAATATTTTGAAAACCTGAAACTGTACCTGGAAACTGATTCAACAAATGTGACCTATGAAGTAGAGGGAAACAAATTTGTCCTATATTATAAAACTGGGAGCAATATTAAAATCAAGTATTTCTTCCATGGTTTGCATCCAGTAATTCTAGTAAATGATATTTTGTTATAGATAATACATACAAATATTTTCAGGTTGACTATTTTGCAACGGTAGATGGCCTACTGCATGAATTCTTCAAGGATCGTGCCCTATACTTAAATGAAGTTACCAAGCTTCAAAGCCAAAACTCAGAATTAGTAAAATGCAAGTGACTTGAGAATGTGATTGGTTTTAGCTCTTATACCATAAAAAGATGAATTCGACAAAAGCAAGAAAACATTTTTCTAAAACTTTCTTTTGTAGGCAAAACATTACTTGAAGAAAAGCTGCTAGAACTAGTGACTCGCAAAAAACAAGAGGAAGAAAAATTGTACAGTAGCTTTGTACTTGTTTTAAATGAGAAAAAAAGACAAATTCAACATTTGAATGATCTCTTAGAAGCATTCCGAAAGGGAAGACCTACTCTGAATCCCCCAGTTTCAGTTAAAAAGAGAAACAAGAAAATTGTTGAATCCAGCAAGAAAGCCAAGGTTGAAATCAAAAATGAAGTCTCAAGTTCTGATGATGATGATGCAAATGAATATGACACTGATGAAGAAAAACTAAATGAAGTTGCAAGAGTATGTGAAGACAATTATGTTCAACCAAGTACTTCTAAAGAACATTTTGAGCCTTGGAATGGTCCTGAATCTGGCTTATTACCAAAAGTAGAACAAAAGACAGAAGTAATAGATTCTGATAAAGAAGATATAAATTTTAGTCTGCTGGATAGTGAAGGTGATGATAATGCACCCTCTCTGCCAAAGAAAAAGAAAAAAGTCTGTAATGATGAAAAACCAGTTGCTACTTTGGATAAACAGGGACAGATTAACCATAAAATTCTGAATGATGATGAAAAACATCAATTTCCATCAAAGATAAGAAAAAATATTTGCAGAACATCTGACAAGATAAGCAGCTTCGTAGTTGATACATCTATGGACCATGAAGACAGAATAGGGACTCATGCTTTCAGCACATTAAGCAACAATTCATTTATAAAAAGTCCCGGTACTGTGTGTAGCATCAAAGAAGACCCTATTGAAACATCTGTTACATATGATACCCAAGAGTTATTAGATAGGATATGATATGAATACCTGAAATTTATTTTATCTGTTAATGTAAGAGGCATATTTTTATAGAGACCAATGCTTTTACATATTGTCTTTTATTATATTTTATTATGAAGCTGTGATGTTATTTTAATTAAATTTCTAATATCATTTGTTGTTTTGTTTAAAACCTTCAAAACAGAGACGCTGCCAATACATTAACATGTGCTTAACTAATGAGATGAACACTTTTGCAAGTTAACAGCAATTTTTTAGAAGTGAAACTAGTTTTATACACAAAAGTAATTTTCCCAAATAATGGGGCAAAGGCAAACAAGACGAGGCGCCATTTATGTTGTACTTTAATCAAATCCAAGCGAATAACCAAAATTTCTGTGTTATGCACTGCGGTTATAATATGGTTCAAGATGACACACGGGTTGGTGACGTCAGTTGCTCGAATCGCTTGAACGCGTTGGTTTTAACCGCGGTTTTGTTGCAAGTTGTTTATTTTAGAAAAGCCCGTATATAATTTCTGATTATTTTTATTATCACTTAATAATCGGTGCTTTTTCGTGTACAACGGTGTATGGAAAGTTTAAAAAAGAAACCTTTCATAATATTAATGGGAGAAAAATTTTTTTTGTCAGAAAAAGATTTTTAATGATGGAACCATGGCTTTGTAGCTATGATAACTTTCAATTCTCTAAACTTTTCTGCATGTCAAAGAAAATTTTTATTGATTTACCAGAAATGATAGGAAAAACGAAAAAAGATTATTAACAAAACCGCTCATACAGGTGGACATCATCCAGTGAGTTTATATGGCCATATTTTAATATTGTTTTGGAATCTGGCTACACAGGGTACTTTGTTAAGCATATGAACTAGATTTAAACTGTCCCCAACAACAGTAATGATTATAACTAATAAGGTGCTCTACTTTATGCTAAAACTGAAGTCAGCCTGTATCTAGTTTCCCAAAAATGAAGCTGAAGTACAATAAAAATATCCATACCTGGCAAAATTCTAACTTGTCACATTTCAAATAATAACCAGAAATATAAAACTCCACCTGAGTTGGGTAAATACCAACCCAAAATGGTAAATACCATTTTCATTTGGTTATCCGCTTGAATTTGATTTTTGTACTCCGCTGTACACTACCATTCTGTGTTCAAAAATGTGGAAGGTATCCGTTTTGTCCCAACACTAGCACTTTTCCAGCTGTCACCTGTCATAAGTAATAACCTATCAACTTTGACGTTGTCAAGTAAAATCAATATGGCTATCCATTTTAATTTTCTTTATGAAAACATTATCCAATATTACACATAACAAAACGATTGTACTTATATATTTATCTATTGTAACACCAGGATTCTATTCTATTTTTTGTATTGGTCAACAATATTGCAAAACTTTAGCGTCTCTCACTTCAACAAAAAAAAAACGTAGTGTTGCTCATCAAGGTGACATATTTTTCCATTTAATTAAGGTAAGAAACAGCTCTTTAATACTCTAGAAGCAAACAACATTCAAAAAGAGATACCTGCTTTTATTAATGTTGCTATAATAATTTTAGGACTTTAAAAGTTGCTGCATCTTAATGTCAAATATCATCCCACCGTTACTATGCAATACTCCACCACCGCCCCCGTCACCTGACGAAGAAGATGAAGATGACTTTGGGGACTTTTCAGGAGCGAACGATTATTCCTATGGCTGTGACAGTAAGCTTTGACCATGTATATTTTGATGTAGTGTAATGGTGTTTATATGTTCTTTTCAAATTGTGTGTTTATCCCTGTTCAAATAACATTTATGGTGTATAAAAATAAAGGCAGGAACTGGATTGCCAAATTCTTGTGCTTGTATTGATTAGTAGGCTGGGCAAGAAAATATGAGCTCAAAAATTGTGTGACCAAACACCTGTGTTGTGACATCATCAGTTCATTGTACAGCTTAGTGCATAGATAAATCCATGAGTGTTACAATAGTGTTCTTTTTCTGCTTGAGGGCTATTTGGTGCATAGACGCTTTTTGTCGGGTGTCATATTTATTTATTATTTATCATATTTTTTCATGTTTAATTTTTAAAGTGATACTCCATGGAATTTTAGCTAAAAATCTGTCTTATGTTCATCATTCTGGTCTCATGATATATTTCGTCATATGGATGAGTTTTCTTTTTGCCAAAAATACTCTGATATATTTTTGGGCAATTTATAAGATTATTAAACATGTGGAAGCTGCTACTCCTCAACCAATTACTATGTAGCAAAATAGTTTATAATAGTCTACAATTGTTTGGAGGAATTCAGCAGTATGTCTTCTACATGTTAATTACCCTTTTATCTGCTATAAGAAACTAACTACTGCTACTAGCTATCATTCTCTTGGTCAGGATGAGAGATTTGGACAGAATCATTGTTGGGAGCAATCCATTGGAACAATGAATAATAGTATTCTCCCTAAAAATTTCATAACAAAATCAGTTTTGAGTCTCTTTCGGTGACAATAATCAACCTCAAAATTTAATCCCATCGCACACAATTTGGAAAATTATTTAAAAATACTATGAGGTATGTTTTTATAGATCCAAATGCTTTGTTTAACACACATGTTTCTGCTAGGACTGATTGCCAACCTTTTATACCAAAATTAGTGGCCCACAAGTTTGAAATTTACCAAAGATTGAAACTAGTGGACATCTAACCAAAAAATTTGAATTTATTTTATTTCATATACTCCTGGAAAAAGCTTTAAAACTCACAAGAACTCTAATTTCTGGATGTACTGAAATAATAGGGGGTACCAAAGTCTTGAAATTGAGATTATTATTAATTTTCCGTGCTTTATCAGTAGATACCATTAGAATGAATATATCATACATTATAAAGCATGTAATAATAAAGAATATGAAGATAAATCTCATGGCATTATCTATATTGGAAAATAACTTTACATGGATAATTTTTATCTACCCCAGAATTTAAGTTCTGCTCTTTTATCTATTTTAGACATTCTTGTTAAAAGTAACTAAAGCTCTATTGTATGTGGTGTAACTCATATTTTATTATATTTTTGGTAAACTAATAATAATATATTGATAATGTTTGTTGCAGACTTATCATTGCCTTCAACACCTGAAGAATCACCTAAAAAAGTGATTATTACCAAACAGGTTGATATCAATTGCAATGCTGAAAATAAGAAGGAAGATCAAACAACTGTGGAACATGTTCAAAAAAATTACTTAGACAGACGAAAAAGCAATGAAAGCTTTGATAGTGGTAAATTGAAATATTCCAATCATGTTATGGACAAAATTGATTCCTGCAATGATATCAGCCAAAATGTATCTGTAGATGTGAGTGAAGGCACTATTAGTGATAACACAAATCAGATTTCCCCATTAGGTAATGAAAATGAAATAAATATTGAAAAATGCCATGAGAATGATCCCCAACCTGAGCAAATTGAAGATTTGCCACTTGATGAACTTTCATTTGACAACTGTGGGCATGATGATGCTGAATTCATGAGGGAAATCACTGATTTCAGTGATGTATACAGAGCAATAGAACAAAGTGGATATAGTGATAATCAAAATAATGAAGATGAGTTTGGAGATTTTGTTGTAAATGCTGGAATAGAAATTAACAAACCAGAACTGAATAATGATGACAATATAATATATATAACATCATCATTCACAAAGGAATCTGAAATTGGAGTAGGTGAAGAAAAAAATCACAGTGCAATTGCTAGTAATAGTGAAGATGCTTATATTCAGTACAACCACATGTTTGAGAGTAAATCAAGTTTGAAGGATGATGATCCTAACTCTGAATCTGATAGTCTAAAAGAAAATGATAAAGATATTATTTTTGACAATGATTTTGTAGAAAATTCTCTAAATTCAGCAGTAACACCAGAGCTAAAATTAGAAGGGAGTACTAGTATTATATCTGATAATCAGGAGTTGTCAGAAGAAGTCCAGGAAGATGATGACTTTGGAAACTTTGAAACAGCAGATCCAAATAGCGACTCTAAAACTGACAATGACTTTGGCGATTTTGCTAATTTTGCTTCTCATGAAGATGCTTTCAAAGAAGCACAAACTGCTGCTAGCACAACAGAACAAGCTGATGATGACTTTGGTGATTTTACATCTTCTAATTCTGATGACTTCTTTGGAGCATCTACAAGCCATAACTTAGAAAAACCATGCATTAAGTACTTTTATTTGGGCAAAGAAGAAGCATACCAAAAGGCAAAGGAGATTCTCAAGGAAATGATACCACTATCTGAAGTGACTGGTGAAGACATTGATGTAAAAGAGTTAGGGGCTGAAGATTTTGTTTTTAATCAGCTGAAGGATGTCACTGAAACGCCAGCATTGAATTATCAATGGTCAAAGTCATCCAGTCAAAAGATGTTATTGAAGGCACTCAATATTGATGCAAGAAATATAGTAAGTTTGGTTTTGTCATTTTGTTAATTCATATTGAAATTACTTGTATTGGGATTTCAAAGAATGTCTCTAGTTGAGTAGGAGCTTTTAAACCACATGTAAAAAGATCCCACTAATAACAAAAAAGTTATGGCTGAAGACCGACGCAAAATGCAGGTTTTGGGTTTGTTGCTATATAAATTCACGCAGCTACTTGAAATTCTTCAAATCCGAAGGCTTCTTCTAAATAACCAAAACAAAATTGAAGTTGATCGGTCAAGTAGTTTTTTAGAATGTCTAATTGTTTATTCCAAAAACACCTGTCTTCCAGCCATCACTACTAGTTTATTGAGTAATATACAGGCTTCCTTCAAAGGGCATTTTATAGCAATATACACGAGTTTACCCTGCCGACATGAGTCACAAGGTAATCCGAAAGATAATTGTTATGTTTATGCAAAGAAGGGTTACGTTTTTTTATTCTAAACAAATTCAAACATTTTGTGTTTGTAAGTAATTTTTTTCGTTGCAACAAAATGTGATAGACACATCTTCCGCTTTGTTTCAAAATGTGTATAATGTATGTTTTTCAAACTGTTCAGTTACAAATATGAAATGGTTGAATTTGTTTAGGATAAAGAAAGGAAACGTTCCTTTTTCGCATAAAAATAACAATTATCTTTCGGAATCGCTTGTGATTCATGTGGGCAAGGTAAACTCGTCTATTTTGCTATTAAATTCCCTTTGAACGAACCCTGTATATTGCTCAATAAAGTAGTAGTAATTGCCGGAAGACCGGTGTTTTGGGATAAACAATTAGACATTCTCAAAAACTATTTGACCAATCGACTCTAATTTTGTTTTGGTTATTTAGAAGTAAGAAGCTTTCAGATATGAAGAGTTTCAAGAAGCTGCGTGACATTATCGTAATTAGCAACAAGTGCCAAAATCTGCATTTTGCCTCGGTTTTCGGCCATAACTTTTTTAGTATGAGTGGGATCTTTTTACGTGTGGTCTCATTCCGTAGGTCTCATAAATACTTAAAAATCTTAATTGAAGATTAATTTTCGTTTCTGTAAACACTTTCGATTGAATCCCAAACTACACGTTTTCTCATTCTTTGTTGTCCATGATTTAAATACCCCCTTGAACAACTTGTGTCAATAAAACAGACTTTACAATTATTTCGCAAACCAGGGCTATTTTCGTCTAATATAATTAGACTATATTGGTGGTTTGGAGAACAATAGCTTACACCAGCCTTGTTTAATTTACAGCTCTATGGTCCATCATGGAACCCTACTATGCCAAGATTTGCAGCGAATTTGACGATGGAACCACTGGAACCCATAAAGACGGAGTGTGCCAGTCCATCTCTACATAAATCAGCTCCACTACTTAATCCTCAACCTCCAGTGCCAGAGGTACCAAGTGCTCAGTTTGATTGGAGTGGTTCTGGACTAACGAATCCTCTTGATCGTAAGTAAACGAGTTATTCATATTCAATAATTAATAGGCTCAGGTATTTATTGACATAGACAGCAAAAATACGATTTGCCCTCTTTAAAGCAACAGAAATACTAACTTCTATTTTGAATTTCGCGCCATTTTCCATATTGATGTACTTTTTTTTACTGCAGCAAGGTTAGCAACGCGTCTACTAAGGGCTTAGTTTGAGAACCTAGTGTTATTGTCTACTTGTTAACATGTTTTGCGAACAATGTCCTATGTCAATCTGTCAACCACAGGATGAATGCGTGTCCACATCAGAGGTCCTTTCCAGTTCCTCGTTTGTGTTACTCGGAGTAATTCGTAGCTACCCACCACCTATCAATACTGTTCCAGTGCTCTAGAGCGTCATGCACCTGAGCTACTCATTTTTGAAATCACACATTTACAATTTGAAAAGAAATATAAAATGTGGGACTTTGCTTTGCTGGTTCGCTCATTAAGTCTGCCCTGGGACCATATTTTTGAAATCAGTGATAACAATCCTGTACGATCTTTATCAAGAGCTACAAGATTTGGTATTTTTGTAATTTCAGGTGATAATTATTGCCTATCGTCATGACAACCAATTATTGATTTGTAACACTCGCAGTTCACCGAATTTTGGATGAAATCCTTATTTTTATTGCTTCTTTTTCATCTCATAAAATACTTTAGCTTATTTTAGAAGTATCACGTAGAGGCATATACTATAAATACAGAAATAATGATAAGAGAAAAAATAAAACATTTTATTCACTGGCCGATCGCCATGAAGTACGGGTACGCGAAAAACGGACCAAATTTGGAGTTTGTAAGAATCCCATTTGTGGCTATCTTCTTTTTTATTTTTCGTTGTGATTTTAGCTTTCAATAATTCTAATACAAATATTTTGCCGTGTTTCTATATGAATGAAATTATCAGTAGTTATACTTATAGGTAGCTTTTAAAAAAAACCTATCACACGGCAGGTTCATGGGGTTAGGCATTGCTTAAAGTAATTAAACACCAAGCAAGTTTGCTCGTTAAAGTTTTAGGAGAACTATAAACTAAGTGTACGTAAATCTGTACAAGATTCGTTTTGTGAAATGACATCCCGTACGGCACGGTATTATGTAGAAAACCTATAAAACGTCAAAAAACCTATAGAATGACATCTTGCAGACTAGGTAGTTTTTAGGGTGCAAACAGTCATTCCACGTTTGCTAACTAAGATCATTGTGAGCGTCCATTTAAGGAGGAATAGCTCAACTACACGCATTGTTGGCTGCATATGTTTTGTCAAGCCGATTAGTATATAGTTTTCATCTCTGAGAAGGAAGTTGGTTTAATAGCAAGATCGCATCTGGATCATTGTGTGTATTGGTCTGCATGTGTACAAAATCAGTGATATTTGCTGTGTGAGAAAATCATTACTAAATATGCTGCCAATGAAGTATATCTCTTAGCTGTGTCCGACGGGTTATTTATATGTTGTCCTTTCTGAAGAGAGGTTATGTTCAAAGTCATAAATCAGGATTTCTTACGTTTTTGTGTTTTCAAAAACTTTGAGGAGAATTAGTAAGTACTGTTAGCATGTATATGACTCGTAATTCGACAGTGTACAGGGAATATAATTATTTCTTGTCTCTCTCATTTTTGAAATTTAGCAAATTTGCGTATTTAATTTCCAGAATGGATAAGAAAAAGTGGATGCGCAACTTATTTCTAGCTTTGAATCTCAAGTAAGTATTTGAGACAATAATCCAGTGGAATTATCGTCAACACATATTACGAGTATTTGCACACAAATTCTCTCTATGCACCTATGTATTGCAGTTACCTCCAGTAATGTCGTTTCTGAAGCAGATTTTACATCACATCAGAGCCAAACATTGATAACTGAAGCCTCATGACGTTTAGGCAATACGTTCAACTACACAACTTGTCCATCAGCTAGTGATAAGTTAACATCTTGTAGAAAAACCTACATAATGTCACAAAAAGCCGATATAATGTCAAGAAAAAACGGCATAATGTCTCTTTTCAAGATACCTAATACCCGTGCCGATTCGTGAAAAGGCTTCCGCGCATGTAGGTGCCGGCTGAGTGATAAGGCTCTTACGAAGTTCAAGAGCTGTCTTTACATGTTTGTCAAGATTTACTTGTCATTTGCATTATAAACACGAAATGTGACTAGCTATTCTCGTGGCTTTCTTAATGCATCGTAAAGTACTTCGACGTATCTAGAAGAAATTCGTAGTATTTCGAAGTATTTCAAGATGTTTAAAAATAGACCATAAGATTAAATTAATTAAAAGTACTCATATAACATTCCACTAGAGAACCACCAAAACACCCTGTATAACTGTCTCGAATACCATTCAGCATCATTCAAGTAAAATACATACGTCCGAAATGTCAAAAGGGTCTTCGTGATCTCAACTCACTGTAACAACATATTACATATGATAAGCTGCCATTCGCTGTCTTTTTGTATACGACTTTTCTCACGGGTTTCGAAAATACGGCCCCTGGTGCTGAAGACGTGGCCCAGTGTCGCCGTTATCGCATCAGCTTGCAAGACACTTAGCTGCCTATCGACGTTTGGTTAAATGTAAACATGTTGGGAAATATAACAACTATAGTTGTAGTTACCGATTTTGGCGGTTACGTCATCAACGCCATATGAAATAAGTAAACAGATCGAATCTCCATACCATGGGCGGAACACTTCGCGGACTATTCTTCAGCGCATCTGCTACTCTCTCCAGTACGCATAAAGTTGGTAACAGGGGACTGCTGTTTTCATTCTCTTCCTAGAAATACTCTAATAAATTTAGCACGAGCTGTCGGCCTTCTCCATTGAACGCATTTCCGGGCATTGTACAATTTTCTATTGTATAAGAAATAGCAGGACAACTCGAATTGCATGCCGATGTCAAGTAAGTGGTTACTCTGACAAATATGATTGAAGGGCACTCATACGTAACGACGAAGTTTTCGAGACGGAGAAACACAACTAAAAAACGTATGCCTTTGAGCTTACCGAACAAACGTTCATACACAGAAATAGGTTGCATGTGTATGTATAGTCAACGCCAAACAAAGTGGCGTGCACGTCATCAAGGTGGGTGTGTTGAAAAATTTACATTGTTGCCAAACTTTTTGTAAAATAATAAAATTTATTATTTACATATCTAGGTTTATAAGCAATATTAACCTCAAATGAGAACAAAAATAATAGTATAATAAAATTATAGATCTGTACTTGCATAATCATTAAGTAAGACAATTATTGATCAGATGACACTATGAAACTACCATATTTAATTGATAGCTTAAAGGTACTGAATAAAAATCCAAATGGGGTCCTCCAAATTTTATGCATGGTATTTATTTTACAGAATTCATACAGAAAAATGCATTCTAAAATTAGGTAAGCTACTGGTGTAAGCTTTTTCTGTACAATAAAGTTAGTCGGAGTTTCTTTCTTCAGCGCTGTCTGAATCTGAATCTTCATCACTCTCAAAGTTGATTATTAAAGGTTCGATGTCTGGTCGATCAAAAATTCGTTCTCTTTCATACCATTTAAAAATTTCTTGCTCAGTATGTCGATCACTATTTTTCCACATGTCTGGGGTAACCGTTTGTAGAGCCTCGTTCCACATATCCAAACAGTCTTTTTCACTGTTACCATCTCTACCAATATGTCTGTTATAGTAACCTTTTGCTATGCCCCAAATTAACTCAATAGGGTTAAATATACAATGGTAAGGAGGCAGACGAAGAACTTTGTGCCCATGTTGTTCCGCCAATTCATCAATCACGTATATTTTAGGTGGTTTGTTTCTAAAAAAGCAGTTATTTTAAGAATAGGAATAAACAAAAGAAATATAAACTGTCGACCAAAATATATTTAATTAAGAAGCATTATGTACCGAGCAACAATACTCAATAGCTCTGTTTTAAACATTGTGTTTAAAAATGGTATGTTTTGATTTGTCAACCAGTCTTGGATATTTTTTTTTGTCCATACATTGTTGGGCACTTTGTTCAATATCATGCTGTGATAAGGGGCGTTATCCAGTATAATCATAGATGGACTCTCCAATTTTTCTAATAACTGATGTTGAAACCATTTCAAAAAATTGTCCTGGTTCATCTCTCCATGGTAATCGCTCAATTTTGTTTTCGAAGAAAATATCGCTTCACTACCCTCAATAAACCCATTTTCATTTCCAGCATGTAATATAATGTATCTAAAATATATTAGTTTTAAATTTCATAGTGCAAATTGTATAAAAGTACATACCTTTTACCATCTGTTTTAATAGCTTTCACGCTTTTTTGGTTTCCATTTTGCCAAGAGCGACCTATGGTCCCATTTTGAAATATCCAAGTTTCATCGAGGAAGACAAACTGGTATAAGGCCTCAACCTTGGCTTGATTGTATTGCCTTAGAAATTCCACCCTTTTCAAAGCTATACTTGGTAGTTCCATGAGCCCTCGTCGCGGATTGTCCTTAAGCCACTTAAATCCAAGATCTCTAAGCAACCGCCTTAAAGACGTGGCACTACCATCAAATAATGCCCTATCTCTTAATCGAGACCATAAAGTTTGTATCGTAACTTGTTCTTCTGAAACCATGTGTAATATGACATTATAATTTAGTTAACAAATTAATGCAAATTTCTGATAAGTTATTATAATAAGATCTTACTTTTGTGATACATATTATAGATCACTTCTCGAATGGCACTTGTATCCAATGTCGCTGTGTTGGTTACACGTTTAATATAACTCCGCTTTTTCTTGGGCGATTCTAAATTTGCATCACTTTTCACACCCTCGGAAATACGACTAACTGTCCTTAAACTAATTTTTAAAGCAGCAGCAACACGCTACAAAAAATGAAATAAAATTTCACTATTATTAATATACATTACATATAATTATTAGTAACCTACCTCTTGAACAGCATTTAAAGGCAACAAAGGCCCGTTGTTGTCCCTTTCTTGCTCAAAGTAGTGCATTAACGAGGCCACGAGTTCCTTACACCGACTATTTAACTGTTTGGGCATCTTTATATACCAAAATTGCCTTTATCTACTCGTAAAATGAATAATTTTGTTTTGAAACAAACAGTTGTTGATTTACAGTATGCGGGGCCAAAGGATTTATAAAGATTTGAAATGCCACAAATTGATTCAGTGTCAAAATTAATACAAATGTCAGTTCCCAGTTTAAATAAGTTTCAAGGTGACAATGTGTCAACGCTGCGAAATCGGTTTAGTGCGTTTACATGTCGATAAGTGATTGGAGCGTTTGCAAAACATTTTATTTCGCATAATGCGTCTAAATTTATCAGAAAGCAACTTATGTGATATTTTAATAACAATGTTTAAATGACTATTAACCATAATAAGAGAGTAATGACCATTTTACAATTTATATATCACATTAATATGAAACTGCAATAGAGCAATTGTTTGTGATAGAAACCTAGGCATTAGGTCGGGGAATTTTTATCGTGATGACGTGCACGCCACTTTGTTTGGCGTTGACTATATGTACATATGTATGAGGGCGATAAAGATATATAAAGCGATGCTGGTAGCCAAGAACGGGAACGACAACTATAGTGATATTGACAAAAATTATTGATGCAAAAATTAAACTGGACATGCCTCAACAATTCAATTCGTTTGAATAATGTAATTTGAAACATTCACATCACAATTCCATCCATCCATTCATCTTGGGCGCAGAATGCCAATTAAATATTTTTTCACAAGAATTTTATAGACTATTCAAATTAATAAAAACAAAAATAGTGGGAATGATATTCTATGCACTGAACATATTTTGCGTTTTGGAGTAGGAAGTAGTGATTACCTAAAAAGCTACATATGCTAAATATTTTTATTGCTATTTTTCATGCTTGCATTGGATTCCACCCGTAACGCCTTTCCTTAACTTTCCATACAAGACTCTCAAACCTTACTTTTAGATTTGGAACAGTTAGTCGCTTCCCTAGATATTTCCATTTGTAACCCTAAAGCTGCATCCCAGAATTCACCTTCCTCCTCGAATAACGAGTTAGAAGATTGGGATAGATGGTTAAAATGTAAGTGATGTTTATTGCTTTATGCCTCCTTTTGTATATGCTCTAGAAAAATCATTGGCGTTTTTGATTTTGTATCTTTACTCAAGTAGGAGTTGTAGTGATTGTTATTCCAGTACTACAATCTTTCAACACTATATAAAGGAATATATCGGTACTACCATACTAGGTTCGGGTCATGAACGTCAAAACTTCGAGGATAAAGGTCGATTTATTAACTCTACGTTCCGCACCACTGCTGTAACACAGAACTTGAATCACGCGCTTGACGTTTTACTGCTTATGAACAAGAATTTCTCCACAAGGCTGACGCTAGACTTGACGAAGCTTTAACTTTCCGTCGTTGCCGTTCCCAATTCAACCAATGAAATGGATCCAACAAATCACATGTTTGTTGAGATAGATCAGCTGGTTGCTGGCGTGCTTTTCGCTCTGTTTGACATGACATATGTTCTGTTTTGCTCGCTGTGGCTTTCTTTGAGATTGTTTTCTATATTTTATTTGGTTTGTTTAAATAATAATATGAATTATCAGGAGATGTCTATACAAGTTTGGACTTCAAATATGTGGAAAATAATACAATTTTGGGTTAGGCTATGCGTCTCGCACCATAAGGTTAGTAAGCTTATAAATCAATTTTAACTGCCAACGGCGTTATGGTAACGGGACGGCAACGTTAGAGATTATAAATCGACCGGTAAGTTCAGATGACTCGCGTTTAACTAACGCTTACTTCAAAAGTAGCTAGAATGAATACTTGCCGTTTACATGGAAACGCGCATATTCAGATACGGCTGGGTATAGTGGAGTTGTACGTGCCTACATTTTCTCACGGGCATTTATATGTGAACAGCAAGTATTAATTCTGTTAATATTAAAAGCGAGCTTTAGGCAAACGCTTACGCTCATCCTCGTTTTGACGTACATACTCGCGATCCATTTTGCTGGTGACGCCACGCTCACCGCATTGCGTATGACGAGTTACATCCACAACAGGGTATAAACGTGTTTGGACAACGGTATCTCACAGTTAGACCGTGGAGGTAAGAATAAAGGATCAACAGTTTTTTGAAGATTGCCGTTCAAAATACTATAGCAACGCTCGAAGTTCAATAGTGTCACAAAATGATATACATGTAATAGTTGCTTTATGTTACAACTGAATGTGATAGTTGGAAAGGACTTTTACTAAATATGTCTATGTCTTACACGTTACATACGCAATGCATACTGGCATAGACGTGACGTGCTCGATAAGATTCTAGTATGATACGATAAATTGGGGAAAGACGCTTAAAACAGAACAATTACATAACAAGTGGTGGTAACATATTCTAAACATCTAAACAATGAAAATTATTCCAAATAGTGAAGCAGCCCAGCAGTACTAGTCTTTTCTCGAGTATTCATTACGGTAGAATAGCAGCTGATTATCTAGTAATACTCCAAAATTTCCCATATCGACAAGTGACACCCAGTTCTGACGGATCCATTAACACCAAGAAGATAGAGCCTCAATTTGTTGTTTTTTGTGCGCTACGGATTCATTTTATACTTGCTAACAACTCTTCTATTTGGAAAAGTTCCTTCGCTTACAAAAAAAGCTACAAGCAGAATGGCTACTAATGATCATGACTACATTTTTAGTCAGGTAAGAATAAAATGAGATAAGCTGTTGTTCACTTTGTTAGTTAGCTGTACTTTTTTATTAGAACTTGAAACACCGTACAGTTTTAAAGGTCAATGAAACAGCCATATTTCTATTACGTTACACTGATAACGGACATTAACCAGAAACACGTGTCGATATTATTTTACTTGTAAAATTACAGCTACTGGAAAGGACAACAGATTGTTCTATTGACTTACCTCGTAATCAATAAATCCCAGATGTACTATAATAATTTTCCAATAAACATTTTTCTATGTGTACTTCGTATATATTTATTGTCAAAATTCCCAGTGACTCAAAGTATCTGGATATGTGAACAACAACTCTGAATACCTATGTTTTACCAGATTTACACCCGATTCATTATTGCCAATGTTACAGACTAATACAAATATGTCACTCGGTAGACGTCAACACGTAATGGATGCTCGTTAAATATAGTTTATTTACATTTGAAAATAATAGTAATTAGGTTAGAATTATCTCTTTTTTAATCATTTAACTTGGAATTTGTCGCAGACATATGCATCTTTTTGTTTTTATCAGAAACTTTCATCAATGTAAATGTATCCTCAGGTAAACCTGTGATACGATAAAAGCAACATACAATATAAATAGTTAAATGTTATGTATAATGGTTGCAGCACTGATAAGTATGAGTGAATAATAATGTTTTTTTTTATTTTTGGAAATAAATTTCAACTCAGTTATTCATGTCATTATTCTGTTCATGAACCGTGATTTTACCAGTAATCAGAGATGATCGACCGCACAATTCTGCAATTTCATTTTTAATTTATATCGATAATGTAAATTTATTTTGCGTTCTAGCTATTTCCGCCACAAAGACTGAAGATCTCACAGTAGAAACCACTAAGCAGCCTGATATTTCAACCAGAATTCAAGACGACTCACCGACGGACGCGCAACACGACAACTTTGAAGACTTTACCTCATACCAATCCACGCCTATGCCCCAGGTATCAGACACTTGGTCAAAACAGGTAAGATTCCATATACCACTTGATTGTGATACTTTCCAATCCTTTATTTACATTTATATTTTGAAGCTACTTTACAGGGTTTTTGTCTTGTTGTAATTGACGACTGTAGCGTTTGTCAAACATACATGGATATTTTCCAGGGCTAACTATTCCTGTGTAATTTGTTAGATTGGTGACATCTTGATTCACCTAAAGTTTCCCTATAGTCAAGGGGTGGCATCAAGCAAACTAATAGAAAATAGAAGGATCAAGGCAAGGCTAATAATTAACTACCTCCATCATCAACTGTTCGCTGGCCATTTTCACCATTCAACAACTTAACCACAACTATACAACTTTCGGTATACGAAAACATATAAAAATAAAAATGTTGATCCACTGGGCTCACAGTAGAAACAAAAGCTGAAATCCCATTCCGATTATGTATAGATTTGTTTTAACCTCTGCTTTTAATGTGAGCACAGTGAAGCAACACTTATTTTAATACATGCTTTGTATTTTAGTGTGGTATATTATAGATTTGAGGTATAAAGTCTTGCGACGATGCGCTCATATAAAAATAATGAGTTAAATAATGGAAAATTGAAGAATTTTAGACAAAAATTCCAAAACAGCGAACTTTGGGCTTTTAAAATATACTCAATGACAGTATTACACCCAGAAAAAATATTTCTTCATCTTGATTTTTTGGCAATGAGGTAATCTTACATCAAGAATGAAACGATAACACTCTGACGAAATTTCATTGACAAGTATTAAGAAAAAAATTAATGTATTGGGCGACCCCGCAGCTGAATACACTCCTGTATACGTCTAGGTATGGACAAAATGAGATGATCGATGCCTGATTGTGACACCTCATTCCAAGCAACTCGAACTTCGTGCATTAGCTGTGGCTGAGTCTGTGGTGGATGGTGCAAAGTGGATAGCCTCCTCCCCATCTTATTCCACACATATTCGATGGGATTTAAATCCGGTGAACGAGGTGGCCACGGCAAAATATCAACGCCTGCTTCTTGAAGAAAGTCCGTAGTATGACGAGCAATATGAGGACGTGCGTTCACTTGATGAAAACGTGTGGACGGCCCTCTAGATACGGCAGTAAAGTCGTTTGCAGGACATCACCAACATAACGCGCAGCAGTCATATTGCCTTGAACAAAGGGAAGGGGTGATCGGTTACCATAAGCAATAGCCCCCCAAACCATTACTCCAACAGTCCTGTGTACATGCCTCTCAACAACAAATTCAATGTCACGCCGCTCTCCACGGCGGCGTCTCACGCTTCTACGACCATCGTGCGTAAATAGACAGAATCGCGATTCGTCGCTGAAAATGACACTGCCATTCTGCCTCCCAATGTTGCTGTTCTCTGCTCCAGTTAAAACGTTGACGACAGTGGGCCGCAGACAGAGGAAGCACTAACCGTGAACGGTATGAAAAAAGTCCAAAGACTCGAATGCGGCGATGGAGTGTACACATAGTAACAAGTCTACAGTCTTCTCCAATTGGTCAGCAGTCTGATGTGTAGTAGCAAAACGGTCTCGTAGGGCTAGTGATCCTAAGCACCTTTCTTGACGCTTTGTGGTACGCCTAGGTGGACCAGTTGGTCTTCTTCGCGTTCCTCTACCATCTTCTATCCACACGACACACACGCATTACCGTCATTGCAGTAGAATTAAGACGTCGGCCAATTTCATGATAGGACAAACCAACATCTCGATGGGCAATAATTCTACCCCTGACAACGTCGCTAACATGGTGATAATTTGGACGTCTCCGAACTCGATGCGAACAACTTGAAATTTGACTTATTTTCAGAGCCAAAAACCTCGCTTATCCTTTATGGCCATGGAAACATACTTTCAGCTAGCGTAGCTAACACTGACGTCATAGTTTAATTCACGACTTGAAGTAGTTAACTTTGGCTGTCAGTGGTTTGTTGTGGTTAACTAGAGAAGTATCGATTTCAGCATAAATATAAACAATTTTTCTCAGATGTTTTTCTGTGTCGAAGAAAAATAAGTCTGTCATGACATTGCAGGTGCCCTTAAGAGAAACATACATATCATCCAGCGATAACCACGAAGTGGTGCCCGAAGTGCCTCTGAATGTCGAAGCCTGGCTGCAACCCACTATAGTCACACCTGAGCTGCCCAGGAAGCAGATCGATGCGGAGGAGGATGTTATTGTTGAAAAAGAGGAGCCTGGAAAAGGTTTCATGGACCTGGAAGAATGCGATGTCAGCAACGAAGTCAGGGAGGATGCAGTTGCGACGTCTGTTTTATCTAAAGCCGAGTTATCGATATTTGACTCGTTGAGCAAGTCTGAAGATATAATCACAACTAGCAATGAAAGTAGTCCGGAAAGAGTTCGAGGCAAAGTAAGTACTAGTGTTTGATATCGGACATAGATCTAAACTTCGTTTATTGAAGGCATATTTAGGGTAAATTGTTTTTGCGTTTATTTGGTCTCTAAATGTAACTTGGACTAGCATCATTGTCTTTAGGTTTGTCTACTCTTAGCAAAACTCGATTTAGTTTGTGGTGTCAGTTCAAATGTCATTTATAATATAATAGTATCTTTTACATTATAAGCATTAATAATATAGAATTTTCAGGTTCCTGAAAATCTTCAAGAACCAATAGCAAGTTTATCAAATGAAGAAGACGAATTTACGGATTTCCAGTTTTCAGTTCCCGTTTCAGAAATTTCTCAGCCTCCAAGATCCTTAACACCCATTGTGGAACCTTTAAAACCGGTCTTTGAGCCTTCAAAGCCCACAGTGGGACTTTTGAAGCCAGTTTTGGAGCCATTGAAACCAGTGCCTATTGCTTCAAACGTATCATCCAAAGCTGTTCCTACACAGATCAACTGGCCAGACCCTGGCATTACCGAGGAAGAGTTGAAGAAATTTGATGAGGTAATTTATACGATTATTATGAAATGAGAGGCAAAGACAAATCGACTGGCTACATTGCTTTACACACTTTATAGCTAGAGAAGTGGTCCTTTGGTCTTAATGCTTTGCACGGAAGCTAGGATAAACCTTTATTTTTGATAATAATAATAATAATAATAATGTTTATTTCCAACATTCAGATACACCCAATTGCAGAAAACATCAATGAAGCACAGTAAACAAGTACATTTAAGAATAACAATATACAGGTTAATTCACAAGTTGTGACCAAAAATAAAACATCATACACAGGACCGCATTTTAAGGGGCTTCTTCTATGTAACATTTTTTCCCTTGAGGGCTTCATTAAAAAGATAGAGGGTGTTGAAGTTTGAAGATAAAAATCTTTTTTTTTTAATATCTTCAAAACCGTAAACTGGAATGAACTAATACTTGATATGTCGATGTACCTAAGTATTTTCAAAAGTCAAAAATTAACGTGGCGGAGATACAGGGGATTAGTGGCATTATTTTCCAAATAAAAATAGTACGCAACTGTTTTTTTCGAACGCGCAATTTTTCGAATTTTACCTTTAACCCCTTAAGTGGCTGTAGCTGCTTCCCGCGATGCCTTTTCAGGTGGCACGTCGTTTTACCGCTTGCGTACATATTCGTCTATGCCACTGACAATTGAAGTGCAGGCGTACATATTCGTCAAAGCCACGTGAATTGGGTTACTGGAAATTAAGTGCGTACATATACGGGAAAGCCACCATGACAAGTACTTTTTTTAAACAATTAATGCACCTAAAATTACTTAAAGCTTATTTATTCAAAAAGAAAATACAGCCAAAAACTTATAGAAAATATTATTCTTTTGTATGGTATATCCCAAAACAAGGTGCAGGACAGAGACCAGTACGACACTCTAAGCACCAATAACGACTCTCTTTTCGCTTCTTTTGTTCAGCACATACAACGCATCCGCAGTAAAGAAAAACGCAATTAAACAAACGTAGAGTGATAAGTTTTTGGCAGAGTTACCTTTTTGTCGGTTTTGCTTTTGTTGTTGGTGCTATTATCGATGGAAAATGTATTTCAATCAGTCTTGTGGGCATTGGCGTTCTAGACCTTCTTTTCTTCATTTGTAAGGGTTTGCTGTATTTTTCTACTACCTTCTCACCCAGCTCCAGTAAGAAGTTCATTCTTTTTAGTTTTCCGCCAATCTTCTTATAAATTTGAAAGGCATTCAATGTAGTGACATTTAAAAAATGGAAAAACATCTTCATGTAGTACTTTTTAACTCTAGTACGAGCAGTTCCATAAAAGTGGAGGTAATTGTCAGATAAATCGACACCACCCATGCTGGCATTGTAGTCGATTACGCAAGCTGGCTTTCAATTTCCTTACTTCTTGCTGCAATTTTTTTCATGCTGTCATCGTGAATTGTGCTTATCATAAGGACGTCTTTCTTGTCGCGCCATTTCTGAATCATGAGCTTTCTTCTGAAACGTGCTACGGTTTCACCTCGCTGTAATTTTACTTTTATTGCCTGTGGTATTCCTTTTCTATTTATTCTCATTGTACCAACACCATCTGTCCTTCTTTTTACTAGTTTGTCGAGCAGGTCTATGCTTGTATAATAATTATCTAAAAATAGGCAGTATCCCTTATCTAAAAGAGGATGAATCAATGTCAACACTACCCTCGAAGTAAGTGGTTCATTTTCATACAAAGCATTGTATGCGGTATCTGCCCCAGTATAAACTAAAAAGTTGTACATGTAGCCACTGCTACTTTCACATAAGGCAAAAACTTTCATGCCAAATCGTTTCCTTTTTGAGGGTATGTACTGTTTCCAAGCAAGTCTGCCTTTCCATCCTATCAAGGACTCATCTATGGATATGTTTTGCTCTGGTACATAGGCTGACATATATTTTTCTTTCAGCAAATCCAAAACTGGTAAAACTTTAATCAATTTTCGGCTTTTTGTATGCGGATTTATGGTAGATTTATCTACAAAGTATAAAAACTTTAGCAACAAATGAAATCGTCTCTCACCAATAACTTTAGAGAAAAAAGGAGTCTCGATGCTCTCTCGTCGTGAAAAGTACATTTTATATTCAGGCTTAGGACAGATACTTTGTAATATTAGCAACCCGAGAAGGGTCCTAATTTCATTACTATCTGTATCAAACCATTTTTTAGCTCGGGAATTTGGCTTGAGCTTATCTTGATTCGAAGAAATATACTGCGATGCGTATCTGTTTGTTTCTCTGACTATTATATCTATTAGGTCATCATCGAAAAAATATTCAAAGATTTGCACTATATCCTTTGAATTGTTCACTTGAACACCACTGTTTGACGTAAAAGGGAACGCTGGCCTAGGAATCCCATTTTCTGTCCAGGGCATTTCAAAACTTGTATCAAGATTAGGTTCATGCTCACTTTCGGTATCGCTCGCTTCAAAATCTTCGTCAAAACTGGAATCGTTATCTGATACGTCAGAACTAGTGCATTGATTCCCGTCATCACTGGAACTATCTATAGTCATTTCATCATCAGAACTAGACATTATTAAACGTAATTTGAACACAAACAATCAAGCAACACACAGCCGGTTTATTGAAACCCACACAGTACTGACTACTAGCTTACACCGAAATCAAATGGCGGCAGACAACAACATGCGGTGTTGATGGCATCACAAACACACGTGATTGTTCCTTATTGGTTATATTTACAGTGGAAGCATCGCAGGCGAGCATATTCGTGATAGCCATGGACGGCCCCAATAAAATATTCTTAGCGAATATATCCGTCATGATCAACCTGGATAAAAAAATATATTGGCGGATATATCCGTCATTACCACTTAAGGGGTTAATTTGCTACATATAATTACTCGTGTTTTTTCCTAGAGTGCATAGTTTTCGTAAAAATAAAAAAAAAAACAAATTAGATAATCAAAGCTTTATTTCAATAAATGTTCAAAAACACCACTATTCTGACGGATACAAGTGCGGCAGCCTTTTAATATATAAAAACGTATTTCCGCAAAATTTGTTGTGGCTTGAATTTGACAAAACGCATTATCTCTTCTTTCTTGTAACTGATCAACAGTATTAACTTGTTGAGCATACACTAGTTGTTTAAAAGCGCCCCACAAAAAGAAATCCAGGGGGTTCCAATCAGAAGACCTCGCAGGCCAATGTACGGGTCCGTTTTTGCCAATCCATCGTTGTCTAAAATGATTATTTAACCATGCGGCTATGTCACGGCGAACATGCGGTGGGGCACCGTCGTGCTGATACCACATTCGGACTCTCATTGCTAACAGAACATCATATAACAGATTTTCTATGTATTTCTCTAGAAAAGCTAAGTATGAGTTTGCATTTAAACGTTGTGGCAATACGTGCATAAACAGTTGGCCATTGAAAATGCCGCACCAGACATTTCTAGAAAATCTGAGCTGAAACGAGTGGATTATTACAGAACCTGGATTTCCTAAGGACCTAATATGTTCATTATGAGAATTAAAGGTTCCACTCCTCGTAAATAGTGATTCATCTGACCACAAAACCGAATCAATAAAATCTGTACTTACAAAATTTTCGCCGTTGCACTTCGTCGCCGTGTTGCAGACATTTCACATTTTGCCGATGGTAAGGATGTAAAACTTCTCGATTTAAAATTCTCCACCTAAGACTTTGGGAACATGGTAACTGGGCTGCAATCCGCCTAGTACTTGTACTAGGATCATCCAACGCCAAATTAATCACTTCCAGTTCCTCTTGAACATTATGCCGGACACCATGGCCTCATTCGAGGTTTGACAATTGCATATTGCTGAACTCGTAGAAATGAACGCTTAAAAACCTTCGGGGTATGTTGGCGTCTATGTATCAGGAAATCTACGTTGATACTCCCGAGAAGCCGCTAAAGCATTTCCATTACAGAACACTTGCACAAAAATAATATTGGCGTACTCATCATTGCTAAATTCCATTTCACAACACTCAAAATTGGAAAAAAACTTTTGACTTGACTTTCCCAAAAAAATGGAAGTAATGATAACAATCGTATAACACATAACTTTTGACAAACTATCTCCCCAAAAACGTCAAGTTGCCCTCATATTTTATTTTGAAACTAATTGTATCTCGGCTCTTCATGATTTATCTAATTTGTTTTATTTTTATGTTTACGAAAACAGTGCAGTCTACGAAAAAACACAAGAGTGATTATTTTTAGCAAATTGAAGGTCGAATTCTAAAAATTGCGCGTTTCGAAAAAAACAACAGTGGTGCCACTATTTTTATTTGGAAAAATAATGCCACTAATAACCTGTATCTACACCACTGGTGCAGGTTAATTTTAAGTAAAGACTTTAGAATGTGGACAATACTTAGGTAAATCCACATACCAAATTTTAGTTCATTCCATCTGACGGTTTTGAACATATTGGAAAACATTGTTTTTTATTTTTAAACTTTAAAACATTTTCGGTCACGTCTTGTAATCACCTTGTATCGATAAATAATCAACAATATACTATTTAGTATCATTAAATATGTCGAAATTACTAATACTATTGAATAGTGTACACATCCTATGAACGGGAGACTTGGACAAAACATTGGTGTGGCAAAAATCACAGTAATGTGTAGCACAATAATGGTAACCGAAGCGAGGAACATTAAAACCTATCCTACTTAAAATATATGGATAATAAATCTTATTGTTGAGTAAACAACAAAAAAGACAGAGCGGAAATATTCCTTTGTACTTCATGCGGTTTGATATTAAAAGTTTTGAGCAATACGAGTACATTATGGCCGCAGCCTCGTTATGGGTAGAAACCATTGCACTTGAAGAAAATATATTTTACAGCTCTTCATTGAATAGATTCCAATCTGCTAATAGAGTTTGGATAAATATGTGCCCAGATAAGCAATGCATATTCAACCTTGTGTTTAACATATATTAGATATAGAAGCTTGATTGTTTCAATATTCGAGAAACCTAACCAGTTTCTAACACAGTGCCCTAATATTGGCGAAGCAGACCATGTAATGTTTATGTGATCATTAAAAGTGAACTTGCTATCAAATGTAACACCTAGGTCTTTTACCTGACTAATACTGTAATCATAAATCATAACATTTTATCTTCTTCAATATGTTACTACTTTACATTTTGACACATTTAGTGTGAGGGGGTTTTAGAAAAACGAGCAATTGATGATTTCCAAATTATTCTGAAGAAAAAGGCAGTCATCAAAAGTTGCGATACTATTATACATTTTTAAATCATCAGCGAAAAATAATAAAGGCTCCAAGTAAGACCCCTGGGGAAACTCCTGAAATAGCTATGTAGTTACTAGACTTGAAACTACCATATTCCACAAACAGTGTTCTGTCCAAGAGATATGACTGGAGGAGCAAAGTAGATTTTCAAAAAATCCAAGGTTTGATAATTTATGCAGTAATAAGCAATAGTCGATTCGGTCAAAAGCTTTCTGTATACCTGTATAGATTACATCAATCTGGCCCTGCTGATCCAGAGTCTTGGCAACAAGTTACGTAAAACAAGCTAAATTAGAAGTATTCGGGAGATTGATTTTTTCAAACAATGAAAAGTACCGGATCAACCAAAATTGCTCTACTTCTGTATTGAGTCAACAACTCGAACCTCTCTTAGCAACTTCAAAAGCTCATGACACGCTACATTGAAACTTGTCAAATCGAAACCATCTCCTTATTTTAGTTCTACTTTTGAAAAAGTAGATCATTGCTGCAATATTATTTATGCTACAACGTGATCCAGAATATTCAAACTGGTCGATTTTTTGCAGGTGTTCTCACAACCAGCTCTGCAAAATCAACCAGAACCCACAAAGCTAATACAACCAGAAATAATCAAATCAGTTCAGCCTGACAGTATCAGATCATTACATCCTGAGGTTGTGAAGCAAACGCAGCCTAACATTACGAAATCTGGATCTACAGAAATTGTGAGACCAATGCAGTCTGATGTTATGAAACCAAGACATCCTGAAGCTACAGACACAATACAACGAGAAGTTAGTAGATCAGTACTTCCTGAAGTAATTAGACCAGTACACGCGGAGATTATGAAACCATTGCAGCAAACTGTTATGAAACCTAGATACCCTGAAGTTACGAAACCGATGCAACCTGACGTTATGAAAGCTGTTCAATTAGGCAACGTCAAACCACAAAAACAATCGAACAGTTTTGATGATGACGAATGGACGGACTTCATGTCCGTACAAAAGCCTTCACCAGTGCACAAGATGAAAACAAGTAGTCGAGAGCAGACCTCCAGTCCTGATCTGACGTTGTCTGTGTTCAATTTGGGAAATATCCAGCCTAGTAGGCCACCTGTACCTGTCATCACACCTACGGGATTGGTGCAGACTAAGCTGTCGTCGAACCTGAATCAGGTAATTATCCATTATGTCCGTTTAACCCGGTTTCAGCAGTGTTATCTGCAAGCGCGTCTATTTGCAGTGCTTTTTGTAAAGCGGCTAGGAATGGCTGCTGCTTAAATCGGATGTGTCAACTTATCTGTCAAAAATTGTTCAGCAGCTTTAGCGCTGTGCTACCGTTACACTACCGACTACTACGAAAATATAGACCTAAGTATGTACATTCGGATTTTTCCATACATCTCCTTGGAAATCTGCCATGTTGCATGTCCCTCTGTGGAGGCTAGTAAATCTCCAAAAATGCTCTCTATCTATAGTTAACAGCGGGTAAAGGTATTCTTATATACTTTGCAATATATCTTCCGTATGACGACTAATCGGACGACTCTGAAGCCGCAACAATTGACAATGTCGCATACGTAGATCGAATAAGATGCGTAAATGCTTCATTGATAACACGAATGTGTCATTCGTATGTTCTTGATTTTTATCAGCAGTGATTTTTTTGTGTGCTTGTGAAATTAGTATTGGTGAGGCACTGCTTCTTATGTAATATTATAGCTCACAAGGCAGAAGAACATGTTTCATTTCATAGGTAAGTATAAGTTATATATTTTTTTACTTTCGGTTTCCAGTGACGTGGTTGTTATTCCCTAACCCCAAGATGTTTTAACACTTTTCGACTTCGATTTTTGCCCAATGTCCATTATATACAGGGTGGCCGATATGTAACTGAGATGTTTGTATCTTGAATATTTTGTGAAATGAAATAAAATACGTCTATTTTTTCATCTTAATATTTTATTGAAATATATAAATTATGTATGAAAAATTATATCAGACAACTGTCCGCTCAAACCTGAGCCCTCTTGATTACATTTTCCATCACTTTTTGGTAGGTTTCGGATCGGTAGTAATATTTTCAGTCGCTTCCGTAATATTGTTCTTCAGCTGCTCTACAGTATTTGTTTTGTTGGCATAAACCCTGTTTTTTAAAAATCCCCATAGAAAAGTCAGAAGCCGTTAAATCCGGTAACATCACCAAATCGAGAAATTAAACGTCCCGGAAATATTGTTAGCAAAAGATTCATTGTTTCCCTAGCTGTGTGACAAGTTGCTCCGTCCTACTGGAACCACATGTTTTGTAGGTTAAATTGCTGGATTTGAGGAGCCAGAAACTTTTGCACCATGTCACGGTACCGCTCGCTAGTGACAGTAACAGAATTACCTGCAGCGTCTTCAAAGAAGTAAAGTCCAATGACACCTCCATACCAAACACCGCACCAAACTGTGACTCGACGAGGGTGTAGTGGTCGTTGGTGGATGACACTAGGGTTCTCTAATACCCAGATACAATAATTCTGCTTATTAACAGATCCGTTAATATCAAAGTGGGCTTCATCGCTAATTAACAGTTGTCGATAAAAATCGTTATTTTGGGTATTAAGCTGCAATATTGCATGATTGTATTGTCGGCGACTTTCATGGCCAGTAGGCTGTAGTTCTTGGGTTAATTGAATTTCGTTTGTCCGCAAATGCAAGTCTTTCTCTCGGTATTTTCTAGGGTACGAACTGGCAAGTCTTTAACTTATCTTAACAGTATACTACTCCCGTTTTTCAGTTATATCTAAGTTACGGGTTCCTCAAATTAGTCAAAACTTCATATTTTCTATGCAATGCACACTTTTTGTGCAATGAGCTAATTTTTTTCTCTTCATACCTCTTGATACTTTGATACATGTGAACTGTATATATAATAATAATAAATATTTATTCACATCAATTATATATTTTGAATAAATTGATATGCCACAAAAGGAAAATATCCTTGTGTGTGTGGATCTCATTCTTACACATATAATACAGTCGTTACAATAAGTTTATTGATAAGGACTAGAAAAAATCTATAAAAGATGTAATGTAATACATTAATTTTGTATCATAGATTAGTAATTGGGAAAATATATTTATATGCTAGAGTATCAATACTATAAATCAAATCAAGCCCCTGCAGTAGCAGCAAGATTCTTGATTAATTCATTTTTGAAGAACCTCTGAATCTTCAATTTGGGCTATTAGATTAGTAGTGCTTGTAAAATTGACCTTTTTTTACCGAGACGCCGCGAATCCTATTCAAATGAGAGCTGTCTGATCTGACATATACTCCGTCCTCGAAATCCGGTCCTAGGCTACGCCACTGGATCCCGCTTTGAACGTGAGACCTTGCAAATCATATGCTCACAAAGTCGGCCATTTTCAGGCTGTTTACACCCGCATTCCCCTTTAGTCCAACGACATGTTAGCAACGACTTATATTTTTTTAGTAGTCGGTGCTTTAGATCTACACATTGAGTTTATACTAGCCCTGTCTCAGTGAAGTTGGCCCAGCGCCCCAAAACATGATATTTGTGAATTTAGTTGAGTGCTAATTAAAATTTCATTTTAAGTATAATATTTTTGGTTTCTTTAAATGTTTATGGATAACAAAACCGACACGCCTATTTTTTAAGCGTTTTTATTTCGAAATTGTCTTCTTTGTAAAATGATTTGCGTATAGCAAAATACAAGATGGAGGCAACTTAAGTTGAATGGTATGTTGATTCGCTTCGATAAAATAAAGGTAGGTTTTGTAAAACAAATAAAATTTTACGTTGCTACGAAGGTGATTTTTGACGTGTAATCAACTTTCAATGCATTGGTGGTGTTGTTCTTTACAATTAAAAATGCCTCGTGGTAAGGCTGTTTCTGACGAAATAAGAAAAGTGATCATTCACTTGCATTTAAAAGGCTAAAATGATTCCCAAATCGCTAACAGTGTTAACAAATCGGCATATACAGTTCAAAATATTACTAAATTTAACAATGGTATTTGTGGCTCAAAAACCCATAACTGGATGTCGTCCGCGTTATTTCAATACCAAGTTAAGAGCCTTAAAACGGATTATCAAGGAAAATCGGCTTGCTAATTATAACGAATTGAAAATATTATGGAATTAGCCTACTACAAAAAAGTTTTCAAGAGGAACGTGTCACATAGCTGCCCAAAAACGTATTTAAAACTTACAAGGTAGGTTTCAATTATTTTTTTATCATTCGGTTTTAATTCAGTATTTCTAGGCAAAACAGAAGCTCTTACTGACAAAGATTCAGAAGAAAAACAGACTAGCGTGGGCCAAAGAATACAAATTATGGTCTCCGAACCAATGGAACCCCATTATTTGGAGTGATGAAGCCAGATTTGAAGTATGCGTTGGTGATAGTAGGAGTCGTGTCATAAGAACGGGTTTCAGAATGAACAAAAAGTTAAGTTTCCTGGTACTGTTATGATTTGGGGATCCATGTCAGCAATTTAATCTTTGTGTATTATCAATTCTGATAAGTACATTAATGTGCTTCAAAATAATTTAGTACCCCAAATTGAACAAATGCGTATAAACAAAAGATTGGATGTTAGAAAACAATACTGCAGCTTTAAAATGGACATCGAGTAGTCCAGATCTATCGCCGATTGAAACCTTATGGCATATCATGAAGAAAAGAGTCCGATCGATCCCAGAAGAACCGTTCCAGAATTGCAAACTCCTCTCCAAGAAATTTGGAACAGTTTTACACCAGATGACTGCCAAACATTATTTGCCACATGTCAAGACGTACCGAAGCAGTAATCAGCCGAAAAGACGTTGTAACGCAGTGGTGATTTGCTGCTATTTGGTTTCGCTCATTTTTATGCAGTTTTTTAATTTGTGAGATTTTTTTTTGTTAAAAAAAATTTAGTATTTTAGACTAATATTAAATAAAAATATCGTAAGTTATCACACATTTTAATTTTTAATACGTCTCCGCTAATATGACAAATTTCATAAAAAACGTAGTTTTGATAGTTGGGCCAACTTCACTGATACAGGGCTTGTATAGTATTTATTTATAAACCACTTAATCACTAATTAAGTTTATTTAGCTGGTTACTTTTTTTAATTCGAATCGGAAGGGGTACTGGCGCTACGGCACAGACTGAGGAGGTATGGTGGTTGTGGTATATAAAGCTCCTTCTCACTGGTCATATCTCCATAACGCCATATTTAATGGCACCCCCTCCGCAGCAGTGACTTTCCTCTTTACCCTTAAATTTGCATGGTTGCACCATGGAACAGCTCATTGTGCAGTAATTCACTGTTAGCTTAATTTTTTTTCGGGAAATAGGTATTTGCATATCCTGAAAAAAAAATAATCACATTTGTTGAAGTGTGAATATCAACTGTGTTGCCCCTAACGTTCTCGCTGTTTCTAATGTTTTTTATCGACCATAGACTGCAGAGGACTGTAGTTCTAGCTGGCCTAAATATGACCTAGGAGCAGGACCAGTATTTTCAAGCTCACGTTCGTCGAGTTACTTCATGGCATCGTCATTTTTTTACTTACTTTTTGACTGAAAGAGAGCATAATATTTGTGTAACCTCAGAATGCACGCATTGCACTGTTAGTAGGCTCATGGCTTTTATAATCTAAGACGTTCAGTTTTACCACGTACCAACACTCATTGGACGCGGTTTAAAAAGGCACAGAAATCTCTACCATCAATTTCAAATCCCCGCTGCTTGTACTTCCCACGCCAACTTTGTTCATGACCCAGGTACAAGACTTAAGAATGAGATGAGGCAGCAGCGGTGGCCGCAGTAGTAGACTCTTCGGTCTCCTGATCAGTCGCCAGGAACTGTGCGGGTTGGAATCCCGTCCCAAGAGAAATTTCCCGTTCCAAGAGAAATTTTTCTCTTCGCTATGGGTGTTGTGATTTTCCGTAGGTGGTAGACGGTCTCTGACTGTTGAACGCATAGGTACCACCCGGCGGATCTCGTAGGCGGGACCAGAATGTGTGCATGTTGCATGCACACGTGTTTCCTCACCAGAGTCCGTGTGGCGTTCCCCCTTTCCCCTGTATCCCCCTATAGCCCCACGGTACCCATGGGTGTTTAGGCCTTCTTGGTAGTTGAAGTATATAAACAAAATTAGTGCACAGTGTAGTTAAGAAACTTATCGTCTGTATGTTGATGCTTCTCTTTCTCCACTCTCTGGGAGACTTCTTCTCTACCTTTCCTTGGAGAGATGTCTGTTCATTGGCAGTCGGTCTTTCTGGACGTTGGCCAAGCAGATTGAAAAGAACTTGTCACACAGTAGTCTTCCACCACTTACCTGTCAGGATGTAACGATTGTATCCGACTCAAAAGCCAAGGCGGAAGTACTTGCCAAGATCTTTGCTGCCAACTCCACCATGGACGTCCCCCCCAACGCCCAAATGCCGTCAATTCAAAGGTTTCCTACACTATGCGGGAGGTAACATTTAGGTATAAGTCCGTAAAGACGAATGGTCTTGTCGCTCGACATCAACAAAGCTTCTGGTCCGGATTTGATTCCTGCCATTGTACTGAATAGGTGTGCAGCAGAGCTTGCTCCAGTTCTTTCGCGCCTTTTCCAGATATCTTATGTATCCGGAAAACTCGAAATATGGTCATGTCCAACCCATCCCAAAAAAGGATCTAAGACCGACCCTTATAGCTACAGGCCTATAGCTCTGCTTTCTGTTGTAAGTAAGATGATGGAGAGGTGCATAAATCGCGAGCTGCTGGACTACCTCGAACGTCACAGCTTGATTAGCGACAAGCAGTATGGTTTTCGGCACCAGAAATCTACAGGGGACCTCCTAGCTTGCGTCACGCAATTGTGGAGTAAACTCATCCAGTCCTATGGTGTTGCTCTTGACATCACGAAAGCGTTCGATCAACTGTGGCACGCTGCCCTCTTAAGCAAACTTCCATCCTATGGCCTCCCAGAAAAGCTTTGCAGATGGGTGGCTGACTTTATCTCTGGCCGCAAGATATCCGTCGTAATTGACATCCCACAACCTCAACGCGGATGTTCGCCAGCGATCGGTCTTGGGTTCGACATTGTTCCTCTTACATATCAACGACCTCCTTTCCTGCACGATCAATTCAGACAGCTTCGCTGATGACAGCACTCTCCATGCAGGAATTCAGAGTGACAAGCCGATATATGCCGCTGAGCTGGAGAAAAGAAGACTAGCGACGACTTCCTCTCTGACGAGAGACCTGGAGGTTATCACTGCTTGAGGACGCAACAATCTATAAATAACCCTATACAAGGTCCAGATAAGGCCTAGCCTAGAGTATTGCTCACACGTTTGGAGTGCTGCCGTCTCGACTACATTATTTATGCTCGATGCTGTCCAGAGGAGGGCGGTCCAACTAACTCTTCTCTAACAGACACAGACGGGCCGTCGGCGATCTAGCTTTTTTCTACCGCTACATCAACGGGCTTTGCTGCAAAGAGCTCTCTTCCATGATGCCGCTGCACGATGTGCCTGTCAGACGGTCCCGCCTGACTTCGGCCTCCCATCCTAACCGTGTCGAACTTCGTACATCCAGAACTTTCCGATACGACCGCTCCTTTGTCCCGAGGGTGTCGAGTCGTATTAATCGTATTAACAAAATTTCGTTGGGTTGGGTTTAGGCTGCTTCGGTATAAAAAAAAACTAATCAACTTCTAAACTATGGTAGCAATGGTAATCTAGGAATTATGACCATTGACTCGCCGATGAACACCGCCACTATTTGCACCTTGGATTAGGAACATTTTAAATTACATAAACTTCCAGTTGTCTGGGGAGTATGGTTCAACTCAAAATATATTCAGTAAATGGAGCTCTGCGACACGTCGATCGACGTTTAGTGACATAACCTTGTCGTCGGGCTCACTCAATTGGACTAGCTGATTTCGATCACCTATTTTTATTGTAACACCATTTTGTCGTTAATTGCTCGCAGGTGCCGATGTCTCCAAAATCCACTCCAAAGAACAACGTAGTCATACCTCAGAGTGCCTACCATGCTCCTCTACCATCCATTATAAGCCATCAATTCGCCAGCCAAGCCTACAGCTTCAGGAACATAGGGCAACCAACCAATCAGAACGCTGCTGAGGATGACGAGTGGGGTGACTTTGTGTCAGCACAAACCGTAGCGAACGGTTGGCCTTCGACCAATCACAGTTCGCAGCAAAATCAATTCAACAATCACAACGTGCAGCAGAGTCAGTTCAAAATGGTAACACCACAGGTGAAAAGTTCAGTGTCGAATTTAGTTTTGCCCGAATTGGACTTTGTAGCGCCAAAAGGTAGGACTTACAACAGTCGGAACAAATGACCAAACGAGCAGGTTATGCTATAGATGTAAATATGGTTGTGTACATTTGTATTTAGCGCTGTTGTTTTTGATGAGTATTTTGTACTTCCTTCTTTGGATTGTATTACAGTTATGAGATGAAACAAGTTGTTATTGGGATTTTATTATTTTTGAGAAGCCAACACTAAAAATGATTCATATTTTTTGAGGTAAAGTACAAAGCCAAAATTATTCAATAATTCCTTCTGACTAGTAAATTGCTGAGCTGATTTGCAGCGACCCAGTTGAGTTAGAGTAATTCAGTAGTGCTGTGCACCATCAGTATCGTTTCACTATACAGAGTGCCATGTACTTCGACTCAGTTTTTAAATTCCTAGTATCATTCAAAATATTAATTGCGTTCCCATGCGCACTTGCTTGAATGGTTAAGGGCGTCACAGATTGAGAGCATACATAACTGTCAAACAATAAAAATAAATCTTACTAAATTTCAACATTTGTCACCTCTAAAAAGGTTTTTTGGCTGTGTTCTAAAGTGACCAGAAGTTTGTCAATAAATTCACCACCAAAATAATATGTTTAATTACAATTATTAAAACGAAGATAGGAAACAATTTGATGCTTTTTTGTTTTTGCTCATAGCTCTGATTTTCAAAAATGTATCATAACCTACTATGACCCTATAACATATCCCCTTTCAAACATTCAGGTTGGTGTAGCAAATTCTGATATATCAATCAAACTGAACGAAATCGATCAGGAGGTAAAATGATAGTTTCTTTGGTTCAGATCACCTTATTGTTAAAAATCGTTTTTAGCATAAAATTTGTTAACCAAAATGCAGGTCCAAGAATGAAATACAGGTTACTTTTTTATTGGTGTAATATAATGTTCAAATGTAAATAGAGTATTGACGTGGAATCGTTATGGTTAATCCATATGAATTTGAAATGAGACATACCAATGATGGTTTTATTAGATCTACTAATGTTAGTAGATTGCTCCGTATATCCTGACCATTTAGGCAGCTAAATATTATTAATACATTTCTTCATTACAATTGAGGTGTTCTATGTATTGACATTTGCAAGGTGTCAATTAATGGCAAATATAGTTTTGTTCTATATTCAGTCGATCAGTTATTATACATTCCATTTTGCTCTTTGTATCATTAATCCAAAATACATCATTTTTTAATAGGAAAATATACAGATGGGTCCTGTAAATACATAGAATGTCACACTAGAACCTGTATTATAGTATTTTTGAAGTATTATTATGATTTAAACATGTTATCTAACGACAACCGCATTTTAAATGCAATGTTTATACCTTAAGTGATATTATTTATATTTTTCCTTGTCAAATTACATTTGATCATAATTTATGTAAGTTAAATTTGTTTTATCATCTCACTGAGTTCGTTTGCTTCCTTGTAGTTTATTATTCCAAGTAAGTTATACTCAATTAAACGATGTACTTAATTATTTATATAAGTTCAGGTGTAAATTTTAAAGATTTAAGTCATGCCTAACAGCTGTTTATTTATCATTCCATATTGTTTAATAAAAGGTATATGCATATTATTATGCTCCGTATTCCAGAATTTTATTTCGCCTTTATACACAATGACTGTTGCATTAAAAATATGGTGGAATCATTTTGAAAAATCTTACTAGGCTTACCTGGATTCCAAGTTATAAACCCAGGTAGAAAACCATGACTAACCGCATACAATGTTGTTTAATATTTCATATTTGTTAACATGTTATACAGGGTGTTCATTAGAAACCTTCCCACCATCGACTTATAGAAAACTGCTGATTAAAAGAAATTTACCTACTCAAACTGAATCTGTTGCAAATAAAAAGGTAATAATCGGAGAGTTTTGGATGGAGCCGCTCAAGTTGAAGTGTTGGGTGATTTTGGAATAAATCTCCTAATACTTCATTACGCAAAATTGTTGCTGCGACTGGTATTTCATTAGGCTCTGTACACACAGTTACTACTCTCCATAAATTTCAGTCATTCAAAATAAAAATATTGTAAAGGTTAACCGAATATGATTTCGACAAGCGACTTGAGTTTTGTGAACAAATGTCTGCTTCAGTGATTAATGCACATTTTATCTAAATGGATTTGGTAATAAGTCTAACTGCAGGTATTGGAGCAATAAAAATCCTCATGCTATTGTAGAAGGGCATACCTAGTACCCCCAATAAAGTAAAATTAAATTCTAAGAGGATGGAAACCGTATACTTGATGTGGCTAAAACATATTTCCAGCAAGATGGCGCTCCTCCTCCCTATGTTCTTCCGGTTCGGCAATGGCTAGACGACGAGTTTCCAGATAAATGGATAGGGCGAATAGAGCTTATAGAATGGCCTGCTAGATCTCCTGATTTGACGCCATTAGACTTTTTCTATGGGGCCATTTGAAATGTTTAATGTTTACTCCCCAGCTTGAAAGTTTGGATGATCTTCGTCAACGCATCATCGAAAGCTGCTATGACATCCCACAACATGTTTTTGAAAATGTCCGTTAGGAATTTGAACATCGCCTATATCATTGTTTGGCGAATAACGGGCAACATTTTAAACACTTATAGAAATAAAAAGTTATGTTTCCTTGTGTTTTTGTTTCCCATTTGAACAAATTAAGTTAAATAAAGATTTTTCTAATATTATTGAAAACGAATAGAACGATTTAAAAGAAACAAACGTCAAAATAAAGGACTTCGAAATAGCTTTCAAACAAGCTATTACTCGATACCCCCTTGCCATTTAAAATTTTCAAGGGGATGACCCTGGGGGGCAGAGGGTGAAAGGAGGTGGAGTAGTTTTTGATTAAAAAGTTGTCCCCATTGACAAATCTTTTGACGTGTCTAGGCGTTTTTTCTTTTAATCAGTGGTTTTTGATAAATCCATGGTGGGAAGTTTTCAAACGGAAAGAAACAAGCGGGTAGGTTCTACTAAAAATTTGCCTAAGCGCTACTCCGACCCCTAGGGAGTAGCAGGAAATTCATACGCTACGTTTCCTATCTCGGCACTGTCAGCCCTTTCCATGAACGGACAAGTGCCGCTCACCATAATAGTCTTCGCGTCAATCAGGAGAACACAAGTGTTTACCATGCTGCCAGTTTTGGCCTCCTGTGCAACTGTTGCATACACTAAACACAGACTGAATAGGATTATTGGGACTATTATAAGTAACTCAGAAATTATACAAAAGGGGCCATACAGCGTGAGCAGAAAGCTTATATTGAATTTTCTATGAACCAGAGAAATATAAAAATGACTTGGTATCGGCTAACAAAATTGTACCACCGATCCAATCTGGATTTCGAGCCCAACATGATACGACAACTGCACTGGCATGTATAGTTGACTTCTACAAATCACTTGACAAAGGTAATGTTATGTGTTTAATTCTTCTTCTTTAGTAAAGCCTTTGATACCCTAGATCATAATATATTGTGCATGAAGCTGAAGTACTTTGGATTTGCAGATAATGCGGTAAATTTAATAAGGGACTACTTAACTAGTAGGAACCAATACGTATCGGTAAACTCTTCATCTTCTGACAAAAGAATGATTACAATGGGTGTACCACAAGGGTCCATTACTATTTTCTTTATATATTTCAGACTTAACTACGTAAAAACTTGCAAAATACATCACTATGCGGATGATACACAATTGTACTTCAGTGTTCAGATTGATCACATTTTTAACTCCTACTCTTTGATTAACGACGATATTAATATGTTATACAATATATCAATTGCACATAATCTAAGCCTCAATGCCAACAAATCAAAGGCAATGCTGTTTGGCTCTAAACAAAAACGTATGATTCCTGAGCATTCGTTTAATCTGAACATTAATAACATACCATTACCTGTAGTGGGTGAGAGCAAAAATTTGGGATTGTGGTTTGAGTCAGATCTGCGATTTAGTGTCCATGTCAATAAAATTTCCTCCTCAGCCTATAGTATGCTTAAGCAATTATATCCACAGCGTAGTGTTTTAAATAGTAGGTTGAAAATGAAGTTATGTGATGCCCTTATAATTTCTCGCCTATCTTACTGTGGCAGCATATATGGCCCGGCTCTGTTAAAAAATGATTGTTTAAAATTACAGCGAGTACAAAATTCGTGTCTGCGCTTCTCTTTTGGTATAAGAAAGTTTGATCACATAAGCCATATATTCAAACAACACATTCTAAGTTTAGATAGATTGAGAAAATTGCATTTCCTATCACTAATCCACAAAGTTCTCGTGAACAAAAAGCCGGAATACCTTTTAGATAGAATTTCAAAGTTTGAAAATATCAATACATTATATACTTTAGGCAGCAGCGGTGGCCGCAGTAGTAGACTCTTCTGTCTCCTGATCAGTCTCCGTGCGCTGAGCGGGTTCGAATCCCGTCCCAGGAGAAATTTTTCTCTTGGCTATGGATGTTGTGATTGTCCGTAGGTGGTAGACGGTCTCTGACTGTCAAACGTGGAGGTACCACCCGGCGGATCTCGTAGGCGGAGCCAGAATGTGTGCATGTTGCATGCACACGTGTTCCCTGTATCCCCCTATAGCCCCACGGTACCCAATGGTTGCTTAGGCCTTAGGCCTTCGTGGTAGTTGGAGTATAAAAAAATACTAGAAATAGGCGAATGATCGTTATACCACCCCACTCAACATCAACCTTTAAACGCAGCTTTTCATATAACGCAGCCAAACTATACAATTGTCTCCCAAATGATTTTTATGACTTCTCTTTATTGAACTTTAAGAAAAAGCTAAAGAATTTGTATCTGTCTGAAGTGTGAAGGATCCTATATGCCGACTCTGTTTACGCCCACTACTTTTCTACTTGTCTCTCTTTCATTCTTGTTCTATTAATTGTTGATACAAAATACTTTTTCGTTAGCTTCAAAAATGTATTATGATTTGCTGATAGGACGTTAGTAGCTACACCAGCAAAAGACTTTTAATCCTACGTTTCATTGAGAAAGTTATGATAGTTAAATGGATGAGCTGAAACTCACTACATTTTTTTTCTTTTTTTTATGATTAGTTCCTTTCTCTTAGGCACTAGGTTACAGAACAGTTATTATGACTATCATTAATACTTATATTTATCTCTATTATTGTATGATATGTATATGTTCATGATACAGATACAATTTTTTATTTGAGGTTAAGTTGAAAAATACCCCTAGGGTAACACTCCACCTTTTCAATTTTGCAATTTTGCGGTTTTCAAGATATCATTCTTTTGTTTTATTTTATGTATACAAAGTTGAATAAAGGCACATTATTATTATTATTATTATTATTATTATTATTATTATTATTTGTTCCCTTTTTGTCTCTGTGGATAATGACCAACTGCTTACAACGTTGTTTCATGCAGTTTGCAGTCACAAGAAAGTCGAAAAGCATTTCCAATCTGTATAGAGATAAGGAAGCTCGGGAAATACCAATACATCGTATAATTTTATTTATTAGCATATAAGAAAAACATCTAGAACACATATAATCACAACTAATTGAATTAAATGTTGACATTCTCTTTAATGTTGTTGGTATGAATAATACGTGTAGCAATCCTACATTTTTTGTCTCATTAGAACTTAGAAGCATTTGCGGTGAACGATTCCAGGGCCAACATCATCGTATTCAGCTTTAGAGATCCACATATGTTGAAAGGTAGTCAGGGACGCCAAGATAGATCCACCAATCCAGACAGAGAATTTCCTCTCGGGGGGTGCGATAATCTTGACCTTGATCGATTGTGGGGCTAGTGAGCTGATCTCTTTTGACAATCTATCAGCCATACCTGTAGAAAGAGAAATAATTTAATTCTTACCCAAAACTTTCTCTCAAAGTTTTGAAGATTGTAGTAGGTTTGTTTGCTCAGATACCAGATAAAATGCGGGAGAGGGAAGATAAGAATGAAGGGAAAGAAATAGACGAACAAAGAACAGGAAGTACGTCTCTTGAAGGGGTGCCGTGGCGGTTGTAAACTGAATTTTGGGGTTGCTGGTGTTGATTAACTTAACTTTGGCTAGTCATTAAATTACATATCTAAATTTTGTTCACATAGTTTACCGCGGTTTTGCGAGTTTGCGAACTTGCTCGTCCATTTGACAATAGCGTCCCTTATGGCCGTATCATCACTCCTTCCTATAATTGTTAGACTCCTTTATGGCTTACTTGATTTTCATACTCTTTTCTCTCCTTCTTTCTGCAGGACTGGTAAAACATTTAAAAATCAAGGAGGCTATAAAGGCGTCCTACAATTATTGTAGGTACGACTGACGATACGGCCGTTAATTAACGGATGACAAAGTATACACTGAATACCAAATACCACATGACGTCGCAATGTGTACGAGAGATAAGCATGCAATACGTGAGTTAGAAAGAGATAGAAGCACCTCGTTGCCTAGCAACCCGAGTACAAGGTCACGGATGCCATCGGCGCACTCTTTCTAGCAAACATATTGGACTCTTCTCTCTCGTACACATTACAACGTCAGATAAATTTGAACCGTACTGTATTTATTGAATTTCAAAAATAGAATCACAAAAATTTTGTGGCTAAAATAACCTGAGTTCGTCCCTGTTACATACGCTTCCAAACAAAACTGTCTAAAATTGTTAATATTTTCAAATCCAGCATAAAAAACCAGGCTAGAATACCAAATTTTTTGTCTTTATCTCAACACGTTTCGGAAATATTAAGGAAAAACCATCTTCAGGGGAGCCCCTTTAAAAGACCGTAGCGCCCTTAGGGGACGTTTATCGACTTATGTTTATACAGGGTTTGTCCGGAAAGTAATAGGACTCATTTTCTTCCGCCATGACTGTACTTCGGAGCGTGCGCGCATCGACTGGATTCGGTAGAGGGCGTTCCTAGCTAACGGATGAGCGACTGGTCAGCTGTCTCCAAGCACTTGGAGAGTCAGGACAGGCATTTTCGCGCGACGTGTTTCTGTGAGTGGTGCAAGCCGAAAATGCAGCGTTCGTTAGAGCAGAGGTACGCGATTAAATTCTGTGTGAAACTCGGTAAATCTGCGACAGAGACGTTTGATATGATCAAGCAGGCTTACCCAGGTGTTGCTTTAGCAAGAAGTGGTGTGTTTCGGTGGCACCAGGCCTTTTTGGAGGGCCGGGTAGACGTCGCTGATGAAGACCGTGCTGGAAGACCTCGACTTCGACAAACACCGATAATGTGACTCGTGTGAACTCAGACAGTCGACTAAGTATTCGTTTATTTGCCCAAATGTTAAATTTGCCAAAATCTGTTGTTCATGACATTGTGACACAGCATTTGAACATGCGCAAGGTGTGCGCGAAGATGGTCCCAAAAGTGCTCACTGACGACCAGAAATTGCGGCGACTGGAAGTGTGCTAAGAAAATTTGAACATGTGCGAAAGTGATCCCCAATTTTTGAATAACGTAATCACGGGTGACGATTCGTGGATCTTTTGAGTATGATCCCGAGACAAAGAGGCAATCTTCCGAGTGGCACACGACGGCGTCTCCTCGCCCAAAAAAGGGAAGAATGAGCAAATCCAAAGTGAAAACGATGCTCATTGTCTTTTTTGACATCAAAGGCATCGTCCACCATGAATTTGTTCCTCCTGGACAAACCGTCAACGCCAAGTTTTACGTGGAAGTGCTCAGGAGACTCAAACGAAGAGTCAGTCGGGTCCGACAAGACATCACAGCCGACTGGAAGTTGCACTACGACAACGCCCCCGGCTCACACCGCCTTTCTTGTGAACAGCTACCTGACCAAGGCCGGCATCCCAACGCTTCCGCAGCCGCCCTACAGCCCAGATGTGGCCCGCCCGGACTTTTTTTTCCTCGTCTGAAAAGGCCGATGAAAGGCAAGCATTTTGAGACGACAGAGGGGATCCAAGCAGCATGCACCGTGGATCTCAAGGCTATTCCGGAGAATGCCTTCCGAGACGCCTTCAATGCTTGGAAATCGCGCTGGCAGTGCTGCATCGATCCAGAAGGAGCCTATTTTGGAAGTTTTTAAAGAATTGTAACGATTGGCCCAATAAATTTTTTTAAATCGACTCAGTCCTATTACTTTCCGGACAAACCCTGTACGTAATTATGTGCAAAGTTGCTCCGTAGAACCTACACACATACGGCCATCATCTTTGCATTTTGACGAGGAAATATTAGGCACATAACCAGTTTAGTCAAATCGGCATTTATGATTACTACTAAAGTAACTCGGTATCACAAATAAATCTTGTTTGCTTACCTGGATACAGAGAATTACCCCCAGAAAGTACTGTGTTTTGAAACAGGTCTTTACGGACATCAATATCGCATCTCAAGATAGAATTATAGATGGTTTCGTGAAGTCCACACGACTCCATGCCTATTAGGGCGGGCTGGAAGAGGATTTCTGGGCCACGGAATCTATAAGAATAATAGTTATTTATGTATCTTAAACTTGAATGGTCGTTTGTGGCCCGTGCTCTGTGCTCAAACACGCAAAAGGACTAGGGTGCAAAGTAGTTGTTTATGACCAACAGCTTACGACTAGATCCCAAGGACATACACGCCTATAACTCACGCAAGATACATAAAACATTGTATCTATCAGCCAGTCAAAAATTTAGAGTAGCTTATACTATTCGTCATTGTCTGTCAGAGCGGTCCATAGGACCTTTGCTCTTGGTTGAAGTCTTGTAAGTCAGTAGGTCTGTCAGGTCTGGTTGCCCAGATACCAAACAAAGTCAGGGAGAAAGAAGGGAAGAAGAAAGAAAGGAAGGAGGGAGAGCAAAGAAAAAAGAAGTGCATCAATCTGAGGGGTGCCTTGGCATTGCTAGTTAGTATTCGGCAATTTTAAATTGATCCTAATATTAATTTTTGGATTGGTTTTTGAAGAAAAATTATAATTTTGGTTGGACCTAAAGTCGCACGATTTAATTTTGTTCACAGTGCGAGTCGCGGCCTTGTGTGCTTGCGAACTTGCTCGACTGTGTAGTCTACTGACTCGCGCAACAAAGGGTAGTTATGCGATTCTGCTTGACTGTAACGTAGCTGCGCTTGTTGTTTGATGTAGTCTCTTAGGTAAAGGATGTCAAGGTCTCTGTGAAGGGTCTCGTTGGAAACATACCATGGGGCGTTAGTGATTATAGGCAAGGTTCTGTTCTGCAAAACCTGCAGGCTACGCAAATGCGTTTTGGCGAGAAAACACCAAGCCGCACTTGCGTAAGTGATCGCTGGTCAGAGTAGCTTTTAAGTGGACATAAAGATAGTTGAATTGACAGTACTGGATCATCTGGTGTCGGTACCTACAACATTTGCCCAGCGACAAATAAATACAGAGTATTCGTGGTCGATTGTTTAGTTTAAAGATACAGAAGGCGAAAGTTATTTTACCGCAATAGGGAATGTGGAAGCCAGTGGGCTGAAAAGTGGGACTTGAGTGATTTGGAATTTATTACCTTTCGCTGCCAATTGTGATGACTTGTCCATCAGGTAAATCGTAACTTTTTTCTGTTGTTGTGCTGGTCTGTGCGCTTCTCATTTCAGTCTCAAAGTCGACGGCGACATAACCAAGCTTTTCCTTGAGATCCCTGACAATTTCTCGTTCTGCAGTGGATGTGAATGAATAACCTCTTTCGGTGAGGATTTTCATCAGGTAGTCGGTAAGGTCGCGACCAGCCAAGTCCAGGCGGAGAATTGCATGTGGAAGGGCATAACCTAGGAGCAGCAGAAACCTATTTTATTTTGAAAATGTAGCGACTCGAGGTCAATTAGCCACTTACTGAACTCTGGAGGAAGGTAGTCAAAATTGAAAATATACTAAGTGACATATAAATCCGAACACCTAGTTTAAATGGTTTTATTTCAAGAAAATTTCGTATAAGTACTTAATGAAGCATAATAAGTAAAGGATAAAAATGTCAAAATGATTGCACTGCTTTAAAGCCCTTTGACCTTTAATAATGTGTGGATGCACCCTGATGTGCTACGCATTCTCCAACGCGCCTAGGCATGCTTCTTATCAGGTGGTCAATGTCCTCCTGTGGTATCTCATTCCAGGCAACCACCAACTCCTCTCGAAGTGCTTCTAGAGTCTGAGGAGGACGTTGCAAATTGAGCAATCTCCTACCCATCATATCCCACACGTGCTCAATTGGGGATAAGTCGGGAGATCTTGGTGGCCATGGTAACAATGTGATATCATTATGTTGAAAGAAGTCTATTGTGACTCTTGCAACATGTGGTCGGGCATTATCTTGTTGGAAAGTTGGATCTGCCAGGGTGTCAAGATAGGGTAAAAGATGGGGTTCTAGAACTTCGTGGATATAACGCTGCGCGTTCATGTTACCTCTGATGAAGATTAGAGGTGACCTGGAACCATAAGCTATAGCACCCCAAACCATAACTCCAACAGTGTGATGAACATGTCTTTCAACAAAAAACTGTGGATTCCTCCTTTCACCACGTCGCCTTCTAACCCTGGCACGACCATCGTGCATGCCTAAACAAAATCGAGACTCGTCACTAAAGACAATACTGTTCCATTCCTGATCCCAGAGTGACCGTTGTCTGCACCACTCAAGGGGATTACGTCGGTGTTCTCGAGTTAAAGGGAGGACCCAGTATGGCCGGTATGAAAACAAGCCAAAACTTCTCATTCGTCGGTAAACACTTCGCATGCCAATAGGTCTTCCGTGTTCTGCAAACCATTCATTTGCAATGGACCTGGTAGTGGAGAAACGGTCCCTCAAGGCCAATAATCTTAGGCGGCGATCTTCACGGTCTGTTGTTCTACGGCGGCGTCCAGTGCCCCTTGCTCTTTGCGTACGGCCTTCTCGAAGCCATGCCTGACAACACCTAACCACAGTGTCTACACTTCTTTGCACTCTAACTGCAATTGCCCGAAAAGAAAGTCCAGCTTCCCGAAGTCCCACTATACGGCCCCTATCAAACTCACTAAGTTGACAAAATCGTACAGGTCTCCGTACTCTAGGCATCGTAACCGATCGTAAAGGATGTCAAGAACCAAAATCCGCCAACGTTGATTCTTTACTGCGGCTGAAATATTCATTTTTAGAGCGTTAGTGAATTAAAAAAAAAGCAGTATAAATACCGGAATGTCCAACTGATAAGGCTGAAAATATTTTCACTTGTTATTTACAGTAAGATAAATACATTCACCAACTTTTATTAAAATAAAGCCATTTAAACTGGGTGTTCGGATTTATATGTCACTTAGTATACATTGGGTAACGACGGGTAGATGTTGACATAGTATGATGGAGATCTGTATCGAAAGAATGAAAGCCGAGGACATTTACTACAAGAATTGTACTACTTAGTGCTGTCTGACGGTTATGCTATTTTGCAAAATTTAGTCAAATCTGGGTGAAAAAATGATGTATCGAGAGATTACTTCGAAAGGAGATTTTAATAGTATTGTTACATATCTATGTACTATTCCATTTCAATCTCAGTTCTTCCGTATTATTTCAATTTTGAGTATTTATAGAAAATAGATATATGATCTCTGTATGTAATGGATGGAAGAAATTATGTTTTCCGTATAAAATAACTCTCAGTAACATCCATATACGGATCAACTTTGAAGTTGAGTCATTAATTTTCAGATAATGATTGTAGAAGGAAGATAAACCAAAATATGTGTGTAAAAATAAAAAAAAATTAAAAAAAAAATTTTACCTTGTTTTATAAAGTATCCTCCCGACAAGTATTTCAGTGCGGACCTGTATTTGATCGTGAGGTCCCCTGTGAGGTCTCAAGTCACCTGATTCACGAGCCCGTTGTACTACATTAACAAAGGCACGAGGGGTTGGTCGCACTCGATTGGGAAACCGATCCGCATAAACATGTGCCATTTTTTATTTCGTTTGAGCCACGCAACAGACACTATTCACACGCGACTGACACTGACTGTATGTATAACTGAACTGAATAACATAATTGTAAAAACATCGTTCCAAATTCCTTCGCTTTTTTGTTTCCGATGCGATGAACCGATAAGGCGGATTATATCCGTTGTTGCCAAACACGAGCACATGATATTATTGAGACAGGGCGGTACTCAAACTTCCAAAGGGCTATAACTTTGTTACTTTAATTTTACCGGAAAATGGTAAAGGAAAAAAACATTTCTTTTGATCAGATCTACTCACTGTTAAAATAAATGACTCAACTTCGAAGTCACCCTGTATAATGCTTCCTTAGACTGATATGCTGGGAAAGTCAATAATCACTTTTTAAGTAGTAGTATAGGGTGGCCGATATGTAACTGACTGGGTTGTATCTTGAATATTTGTGAAGTGAAATAAAATACGTCCATGTTTTCATCTTAATCTTTTATTGAAACTTATAAATTTTATATGAAAAATAGTATCAGACTCTAGAAGCCGCGCAAACCTGAGCCCTCTTGATTACATTTTCCATCACTTTTTGGTAGTTTTCGGGAGGAATATTTTCAATCGATTCCGTAATATTGTTCTTCAACTACCCTACAGTATTTGATTTGTTGCTATAAACCCGATTTTTAGAAAATCTTGATAAAAAAAGTCAGGAGCCGTTAAATCCTGTGACCTTGATGACCAGTTGACATCACCAAATCGAGAAATCAAACGTCCCGGAAATATTGTTCTCAAAACATTCATTGTTTCCCTAGCTGTGTGACGAGTTGTTCCGTCCTACTGGAACCACATGTTTTGCAGGTTAAATAGTTGTATTTGCAGCGTCTTCAAAGAAGTAAGGTCCAATGACACCTCTATACCGAACACCGTACCAAACTGTGACTTGACGACGATGTCTGGTTGTTAATGGATGACACGAGGGTTCTCTAATGCCCAGATATGACAATTCTACGTATTAGCAAATCCGTTCATATCGAGCTTCATCGAGCATTATCAGTTATCGGTAAAAATCGTTATTTTGGGTATTAAGCTGCAATATTGCATGACTATTTTGTCGGCAACTTTCATGATCACTAGGCTGTAGTTCTTGGGTTAACTGAATGTTGTATGGCCGCAAATGCAAGTCTTTTAAAATGTGCGTCGAATACCCAGTTCTTGAGAACGATGTCTGGTAGACGTTTCAGGGGGCTCCAATACACTTTAACGAACTCTGTCGATATTTTCCGGACTACGAACAGTTCGAACATGGCCCGAACTTGGCAAGTCTTTAACTTCACCTGTTTGTTCAAATTTCCGCACCAACCGACGAATGGTGTTGACACTGTGCTGACATTATTTCGACCGAAATTTTGTTGTAGCTTCCAAATCGTTGAAGCAATCGACTCATTATTTAATTAAAACGTTTTAAGACGCGTTATGGGATCGTGTAGCGCTTCATGATGAATTGGACACATGTGCTTTGAACAAATACTACGGCGCCACCTACTGAAATGCGTGTATCAAAAATGGCGCGTAGTTTAAATCAGTCAGCCTGTATATCCTATCTGGAACACATTAAGCTACATATGCCTTACTTAGTACAAAGTCGGACCATGTTTGAGACACGGGTAACTTTGTCGAATCATAGAAAAAGGCAAAAAGGTGATAAATCATTGCTTGCCCAATATAAAAAGATAACTCGTTTGTTCTAATGTTTTTATCATTTATCTACGCTATTAAAATAATTTTAGTTTATTGAATGTTTCGAATTTGCAGCCTCTACGGACGGAATGTGGTCTCCATAAGACAAAAATGAAGTTGATGATTGAGGACGTATTGAAAATCTAATTATACCACCTTGTAGAAGTAGCATTGTTAACGTGCAACTTTGCCTGACTTCAAATAGTGAGAGTCGAATTTGAAACACCCGATATATAATTTAATATTTTGGAAATAGCCCTTAAAACGTCGATGCGGTCTTCCGAACTATCTTTATAGGTTTAGATATTTCAGAATCACCACGAGGGTATGTCTTTCTTTCTCGCACAGGTCAATTGAACGCCCACCAATATCGTGCGATTTGATCGTGTTCGATTTGATCATGTGCGGATTTTATTGAAGTCATATAGGTATACCAATAATAAGTCACTATCCACCAAACACCTCAAAGCCAACATAACTAAGGCAACCCCTGAAATTTGGCCGGATTCATAAAAGCATAGTCTTCCTGGGAGGTTTTAACAATGGATGGTATACCAATGCTCCTTGGGAATAAAAAAAGGGTTCCGCCAATTGCCACGTACAACTTGTCTTAACCCACTCCATCAAAAGCTCATCCTTTTATAGAATATTTGTAGCATAAGTTAATAAATAAAATCATGTGTATACAATAACCATTACTTTAAAACATTTCCTACTGTCACATCAAATATAATCTGAAGGTTAAGGTAAGCTTAGGGTAACAACAAATAAACAACCTTATTATTGACCATTTTGAGGACGCTCTATTAAGACCTGATGTGGAATACTGACCTTCAAAGACAGGCACGGTATGCGAACATCCATCTCCAGAATCCATGACAATACCGGTGGTACGGCCAGAAGCATATAAAGACAGCACTGCTTGAATGCCCACGTAAACTGCGATAGTTTGGAAGGTTTCGAACATGATCTGCGTCATCTTCTCCCTGTTTGCCTTTGGGTTCAGCGGAGGTTCTGTGAGTAAGATGGGGTGTTCATCAGGGGCCACCTTAAGTTCATTGTAAAACGTGTGGTCCCACATCCTCTCCATGTCGTCCCAGTTGGTGATGACGCCATGCTCGACAGGATATTTTAAGGCCAGGATACCTGAAAAAAAGTTATATTGCTAACAGTTCCAACGGGTTTCAAAGCCGTAAATATACCATCGAGCAACATGCCTAGAAAATACGAGGTCTATTGACTGAAGCCACAAATGTGTCTGCTGGCTATTGGTGGTGGCTTTTAATTGTATTTCCTTTTATATCCTTAATGCTAAACACGTATCCAGATGTAATCGGCATACGTTTTCACGTAAATGTTTTCAACGCACATCGATTTGGGCCTGATGACGCCAATTAGCAGAAGCTTACGCCGCTCGGGCTACCAATCCTATTTCTGCTCCTGTTCCTTGATTGCAGACATGCACAGGATTGTTATTTGTTTTTCATGTTTCCGCAAAAGTACTTGTCTCTCTTTATGAATATTTTCGTAAAACGTTTTGCATTATGTAAGAATAACACGTGATTCTAAAGTTTCTGAGAAAGTCCATGTCAGTCCATCACCCAGTATTTTTGTTCTACACATGTTTAAAATACTTTATCTTTAAAAAATAAAAACAGCTCTAGCGTAGATGAGATTCTAACACGTTTGTTGAAAACTATGCATGTCTATGCATGAATACATCTTGTTTTCACGAACTAGGATAAATAACTTATTACTAGCAAATTCCTAGGTAGCTGAAGTCCGTCCCCTTCATAAAAGGGAGCGCATGTTATTGATAATTATTGACAAGTTTCTCATTTACTCCAACCGTCAAAAATATTGGTGCGATGTGTGTATAACATAGTTATGGACTTCGGAGCAATATCATTTTGCTAACTTATTCACAACATGATTGCAGCAAAATTAATCTGTTGAGTCATCGTCTTATCATCTTTTCAATTTTGTCTATGAACACTTAGAAAATATAAATGTAGCAACTATAATGTTTGATTTAGCAAAAGCATTTGACAGCCTTAACATCACAATAATCTTGAACAAACTTCAGCTGTGCATGAGAGGGTTACAACTGGACTGGTTCAGGTTCAAATTCTTCTTTGAAAATTGATATCTAAAGGTGAAAATACAAAATAAAGAATCTAAAACTTTTCCTGTATCTTTGGGCGTCCCATAGGAATCAGTGCTGGGATCATTATTTTTTTGCGAACGATCTCACTAAACAGGTGAAAGCAGGAAAACTAGTCACGTTTGCAGATGATACATCCGTAATAGTGTATGGGAAATCCCCAAAAGAAATTAAAGGGAAAATAATCTGCGTCGTTGTGTATATAAACCAACTAACATTAAGTAAGGATCAAACAACATTTAAATTTTATTTATTAAAAGGAATTACCAGACCATATATTTTTAATGACAGTGGGATATATTTCCAATCTATTGTAAAATTATTAGGTACTTTTTTAGACTCTGACCTGAAGTTTACCAGTCACATAAATAATGTCTGCAAAAAACTGAACAAGGCGAATTTTGATATTTTCAAATTGAAACCCCTCCTAAGCCAGGAATAGGATCCACCTATTCAACAATTTACTAAAATATCTAAGGGATGTCACAAATTATAAAGAGTTTAGGAACAAAATTAGGAAATTTCTATAACACTGCTTCTTTTATAGTAACTAAGAGTTTTTATCTTACAAATTTTAAATTGTCATTATCATGTGTATGTCTTACCTGTTTGTTTTTTAATTGTGATTTTTAATATGTGTAATCATTTTTTCCTATTTTGGTATATTACATAATCAATTTACTGTAATGTGTCAATAAATATCTATCTAATTATCCAAAATTCAAAACTTGAATGAATACGTTAGTGAATGGTTATAACCAGTATAATTATTATGATTGCGAGTTTTCAATTTTCAACAGAAACATAAGAAGAATGTTCGGTAGGTCAAGGAGGAGGAGACCTCACTTATGGCTTGTAATTTTACATTTCTCCAGTGGGAAATGTGAGAGGTCCGAAAAATGTGATGGTGTATCTAAAAAATGGCTCACTTTATGAGGAAAAGATTGTTGTCTAGCAATATTTAGACATTATGAAAGATTATTGTAGACTTGGTTTGTGATCTTTGAAAGTTATTGTAAAGTTTTTTCATCCTCTATCTTCAAAATGAGAGCTTTTGTTTTGGTCGAAATGTATTTAGTCGATTCAAAATGTTTGGCTTATTTTATTTTTCAAGCATTGTTCTTTGTGACTATAGAATAGACTATCATAAAAATGTTAAACAGACTTGTATTTGGAAATTCTGGAGTACTAACCTCTCCTGTTTTGAGCCTCATCCCCTACATAGGCGTCCTTTCGACCCATGCCTACCAGTACACCAACGTGCTTGGGTCTTCCAACGATGGAGGGGAACAACACCCTTGGGTTGTCGTCTCCCGCGAAGCCAGCTTTGCAGATCCCGCTTCCATTATCAACCACCAGTGCAGCTACGTCGTCGTCACACATTTTGCTTTGTCGGCTTTAGTGTAATTCCTATAAGAATGGTGTCAAGTAGACTGACTCGATGCTTCCAACGCATCCATATACGAGGTCTGGAAATTAAGTGATAAGACTGGTGACGTACAAGGCAGTACAAGTTTGGACTCGATCGAGTCATTTGGTTGTCGGTAGCGATTTTTTTTTGTGAAACAGTTTTTTCTATTGTGTTCTAAAAATGAGTGACATCAATTTCAAGCAACGGTGTGCTATCAGGATTTGCTTCAGACTTGGGCACTGTGCAATTGAATCTCTTGCTGAATAGGCATACGGAGATGGTGTTTTGTCAAGAGCCCAGGTTTTTCGGTGGCTTAAGACATTTTCAGAAGGGAGAGAGTTTCGATTGAAGACGAAGCACGAAGCGGAAGACCTTCATCTTCAAGAACTGATGAAGATATTGACAGAATCTGGGATCGTGTGCATTCAGATCGTCGATTAACAGTCAGAATGATCGGAGAAGAAAAATTTTACTGACACCACGGTTTATCAGATCAAGAACAACTGGGTGTTGCATCATGATAATGCTCCTTGTCACACAGCAATGTCAATAAACGAGTTTTTGCCCAATAAAAACATTCAGCCTCCTTATTCGCCTATCTTGAGTCCTTGTGACTTTTTCCCTTTCCGCAGTTGAAAAATCACCTCAAGCGAACCTATTTCGGTTGGAACCGACTAGGCTATTCCAGTATCCGAGTTCTACTACCGCTATGGGCAGTGGGAGAACCGTCTCCAACTCTGTGTGGCTTCAGAATGACGATGTTTTGAGGGTGACAATACAAAATTGTAATTATATTTAAATAAAAAAATCAGTCTCATCATTTAATTTACAGACCTCGTAGGACTAATTTCTTTCCGGGTGGGCCAATAACTACGCCTGCTGTATCTCGGCAACGGCTCAACCCAGAGCTATCGGTTGAAAAATTTTATAATAATAGTGGCCAAGACAAATTGCTGGAATTTTATTTTCAGCTTCCCCAAATGGCTGCTAGGTGGCGTGATTCCAATTTCAAAAATTCAATCGCCATTAGTTTGCTAATCTATAATTAGCATACTCATTAAATATCGTGTTCACCGCTCAATTTCTATTTTGGTTTAGGTTTAGGCATTATCCAACACTATCAGTGGAAAAAAAGATGAAATCTCGAGGGAATTTTCAATAGGTGATAGTTTTAAAATCTCAAAATTTCTTCCAAAATCAATCAACGCTTAGTTATAAAAAAACCTTTAAAAATTATTTGCCATTTAATAATAAAATAATTCCGTCCTAATCGAACCTCATCAGTCCAGTTTTTTATTCGTCGACCATGTGTTCCCTTCACTGTTGTTTTAAAAACAATTTCAGCAACAATCTCGCCGACTTACTCCAGACGATGAAGACATAGATCTTCGAAAGCTTGAGAGTTTAAGTTATAAGAGTGTACTTTTGCAATACTTTGTCTTCTACCCAAAGAAATTAAAGGATATCTTCTCCTAACAGTTAAGGCAATTAACTATGAATACTATATATATATATATACATACAAAGAGAAAATTATCATGCGGAGAAAGGTATATAACAAAAATAGGAAAATGATGGACAAAATCCGCAAAAAGTGGATTCGAGCAGAAAATAGGATAGGTAACCCGAGCGATACGTATTTCAACTTTGTTTCCTCAGGTTACACCCGTATCCGGATGTATGGGCATGTGTCTCTACTTTTGTAGTTGCATATGTGCATTCATTTCGGGCCTGATGAAGCCAACCAGCAGAAATACGTATCGCTCGGGTTACCTATCCTATTTTCTGCTCGAATCCACACAACCTGAAAAGATATAAGGTTCCCCAAAGAAATATTCAACCCTCCCCCTACCTCATCTTGAGGATATAATTTATGAAACTGTTAATAATTTTTTTGAGGATAAAATTGAAGGCAAAACATATTCCTCCTACTTTTAGGCTGGATTCACTTGAAATATTCTAAATTCTCTACAAAGACTTGAAAAGTGTAAGTTCCCACTTTATCCCCTTAGGGATGGAATTTACAAAATTTTTTTTTGTAAGTGCCCATTTACACTGAATCAAAGAACCGAGCATATGAAACCCATATTTGAATACCTAGCTCTAAAAAAATAATAGTAGCTCTTACTCCATATCTAAACTCGTTCAAGTCTAATTTTCACAATATAAGGTAGCTTATAGCCGTCTAAAAAGTCTAATCTATATGTTCGCTAAAATTCATCAAAATCGGTTGAAGCGTTTTGACGTGAAAACGGAGCATACATGCATACAAACATATTTATTATACAAACTTTGACATTTATAGTCTTAAAAGGGATTTCATACTCACCAATTTCAAAAAAGTAGCGACCAGCACAAAACCTTTATTCCACCCACTCAAAATATCAATCAATCTTCACTTCACCAACTCTAAGATACAAATGTTACAAACACGTGTAACTCCTTTATTTTATAGATGCAACATTGCAACTCCCAATGGCATTTTCTGGACGTATAAGGCGTTCTAACTCCCTCCATTTACTACAATCACCAGCTGATGCGATAGTTTGAAGTTCATGATTTATTTTTATAGGCTTTCATAACAGCATACTGCATATATTGAGTAGAATAAAAATATACTCAATCGACGTTCGAAGTATTCAACGTGGCAAGATTGATAGCAATATGCTTGCCGTATTTGGAACAACACATTCATCTAATAGGAAGGTGCAAATTGCGGCACTTGTACAAGCTGTTATATAAACATGGGAAAGATTCAAGCGGAGATTTTAGTATTCTAAAAATTGGTTATCCTTCGGTATTTTTTGAAAAGCTGCTTGTTCCGAATACACAAAGCCAACAGAATTTTCGTAAAATAACATTTTCTGTTTGCAAAAGTAACATGTAAAGCTTATAGAGCATCTAAACGAGCAATATTTATGGCCCGGATATATCGGCCATTACTCGACTATATATTGCCAGTACGAGGAATGTCTTTTAAGTTTTGCATATAGAAACATAGTAGGCCGAATTAGTAAACTTAAATTCAAAGTTTCACAACAATACGTGCAGTGTTCTCACTACAATGGATTTTTAAGTGTCACCAAGTCACTAGAAAAATGGAACTCAACCGAGAACATTTTCGCGCCATAATTTATTACAAGACAATTATCGCAACAAGAATGCTTTGCTGAGTTACTGTCTGTTTTCGGCAACGAAGCGCCACATCAGTCGACAATTTCCCGTTGTTAAGGAGAACTCAAACGTGAACGGGTGAGTCTTAGCGACGATCCCAGGGTGAGTGCACCAAAAACGGCAGTCACCCAGGAAAACGTCGATGCTGTGCGCAAACTCATCATTGAAGATAGACATGTGACATATCGCTAGATTGAGGCGTCCTTGAAGATATCAAAGACCTCAATTCAAAAAATTTTACATGAAGAATTAGGAGTAGGAAAATTAGTTTCTCGTTGGATACCCCACCTGTTGACTGAAGAGCAGAAAGCAGCCAGGGTTAATTGGTGTCAAAAAACGCTTGACCGTTTCAATTCCGGAAACTCAAAAAAATGTGTACCGCATTGTTAGTGGTGATGAATCGTGGATTTACTGTTATGAACCAGAAAATAAACGACAGTCGGCTGTTTGTGTGTTCCAAGGTGAAGAAAAGCCAACAAAAGTCATCCGTTCTTGAAGTGTTTCGAAAAGATGGTCGCGACATTTGTGTCAAAAGCGGGTCATATTGCAACAATTCCTCTTAATGAGCAAAGAACTGTTACTGCGAATTGGTATACCACCATTTGTTTGTCAAAAGTCATCACCGAGCTTCGAAAAATCAACCCTGGAAGAAGAATCATCCTCCACCAAGACAATGCCAGCTCGCACACAGCCCAAAAAACAAGGCAGTATTTAACGGAAGAAAACGTGGAATTATTGGACCATCCTCCATATAGTCCCGATCTAAGTCCTAACGATTTCTTTACTTTCTCGAAAATTAAAAACAGTCTGGGTGGTTAAAGGTTCCAGTCACCAGAAGAAGCAGTTGACGCATTAAAAAATGCCGTTTTGGATCTGCCAGCAAACGAGTGGAATAAGTGCTTCGAAAATTGGTTCGAGCGCATGTAGATGTGTATTAATCTTCCTGGAGAATAATACTTCGAAAAACAATAAAGTCATTTAAAACTACCTACTGTGTTGTTTTATTTCCATGTGCAAAACTTAAAAGACATCCCTCGTATTGTCTGGATTGTTTCCTCAGACTTCATCTTTCCCACGTGTTGAAAACGACTCTGGTAAATATGAAGTGGTTTCCGTTAGAGAGAATTGTTCGAAAGTTTATCAATAGTTAATAAATCTTCAAATTCTTCAAAATCCATTAGTTGTTTCTTGAAAAAAAACAGCTATGGTTTTACCAACGATTAATAATTAAAAAAATGCCTCTCTTATCTAACCTCAACAAATCCAGCTTTTTGCTCGTTGACTGTGTTCTTTTCTACTTCTTTTAAGAATAATTTCAGCAACAATCTCGCCGACTTACTCCCGATGATGATGGCATAGACCGTCGGAAGCTTAAGTTTAAGTTAAGAGAGTGTATTTTTGCAAAACTTTGCCTTCATCCCAAAGAATTTCAAGGATATTTTCTCCTAACGAATTAAGGCAACTTAATCATTAATGCTGTATATATATGTATATATATATATTGTGATTAAAACGATAAAAGAAACGTATTGACGTCAAAATTTAAAAAAGGTAGTAAATGAACTTCAATGTCCTTTAACAAAGTACTGCAGTGTAGCGATCGGCAGCACTAGTATAATCGTTTCTTCACAGATTGATAATAAGCGATGCATTCCTGTCATATTGTAATTTTGTGTGCCAAAAATGTACGCATCAGTCAAAAGTTATATGTTAAAATTCATTTACGTTTAATGGCAATCACATTCCAGAATTAAGCACGTGATGCCCTTGAAATTGCGTAACTGTGTTTGTATGAAACTTGTGTTAAGTGCCTAATTAGGAGTGAGTTGGAGAATAAAATAAGCAAAGGCTCTACGGACCGCCCAGACACACAAACTGTGGACACTGCCAAGCTATTAAAGGATAACTCGTCGTAGGGGATTTTGAAACATTTTTGTTGTCTAATACGGAAAATATTATGAAATGTTCATAAAAAAACAGAAAAGGATCAGAAAAAATATACAGTGTGGCCAAGATATGTAGAATAGCACCTTAATCTCGGAAACGATACAATTTTGGTTAAGGCAGAAAAAACTTAAGTAACCTCCTTTCATTATTATAACGTTTAGAATTCTGAGTAACCTGAAAAACTCTTTTATCAATTTTTGAGTTTAATATTTCTGGATGTCATTTTAATACCTATAAACAAAATCTGAAAAACTCGAATATTATCGAATTGAAAGGCTAATAAATATTGACTATATACATATCTTCATTACCGCGGTCATTTCCTGGATTTCAACTTATTTTTTTAAGATCCAGCGTTGCCATTCTTATTACAAAATCGATGGATATCTTAAATTCAGAATTCAGGTCTATAGGTGATGTAACATTATAGCAATAGATTTAATACGTTTTTGATTGATTTTGTCTGTAATCTTGAATGAACTAAATCAAAATCGACAAAATTACTTCTCTCAGCTAGTATTGTTCTTAATCAGGTGGTAAATTCTCAAGATTGATGCGTAAATTAACATGGTTCTCTTGACTTTTGGTAGCTGTATTACCGAACACTGATAAAATAATCGCTCCCCGAGTCATTCTCGGGAGAAAAAGGAAGAGAATCACTCCCATTTTCTTTCGATTCTACTCCCTCATTTTCAAGGGTAGGGGTCCAGGATGAAACTGCGTCGTAAATGGTTGGTTGAATCACCGAAACCTGTCTTCACGTTTAAGTTTTTGAGGCTCAGATGCACTAATGACATTTCACGGTTGATAGCAAACCCAGCTGTTACAGTGCCGTTTCCCACAATAGCTTCCTGCTGTTGAATTTTCAGCAAGATAAAGCATATGGCACCTACTTAGATGGTAGCTCGCAGTTGATGAACTCGGCTTTTGAAGTGAAAGGGGGTAATACAATTTCCACATATGCTTTTCCACTGCCTCATTTTGATGATTCTCAACGATGATGAAACTACACCGTACACGGTTGACTGGACTAACCGAAGCAATCTTCATTTTGCGATCTTTTCAAAGTTTCTTCTGAATAAAAGGCATTTTGTGTTGTAGTTTTATTGAAATTATTATAAATGTATTATAGAAACTTTACGATGCTCAAAATCATAATAACTGATTTGACATTCTGGGTTGCTTTTTCAGCCCTGAAATTATAGTACGACTATTTATGTACATTTTTGTTGTAGATACCTGTATGGAGTGTTTACAATTTATTTCATTTTTTGGTATGTATGGCTAGTTTATACATCTGGAAACTTTACACTATATAGATAAAAATATATGTATTTGGGACTACAGTATTCGTAAATTATTCAATTATGTAGCAGAAATACATTATGTATTATGTCCTCCAAGTACAGGATTGTGAGCTCAACAGACAAATCTTTACTTGATAACAAATTCTACATCAAGTGAAAGCAAGTTCAAAACATTGTGCTTTACTTTGATAGTGTCCAATAGAAGCCTATCACATGAAATATAGCTATTTCAGCATGATTACAGGTAAGAATATGTTTATGTAGCATAAAGCCCGATGAAAGGAAAATCGATAGTTTACCACCTAACCAAGGCTGAGTAATTATTAATACATCCCAGTACGGAATCGATCAGGCATGATCCTAGGCCAAAACATTGAACCTCATATAATATAAAGTGCGTTCAATGTTCTAAACGTTATCTAGTCATCCGCAATGTTGTGGAGAATAGAACAGTGATTTTCAGCTTTTCCAATTAAACAAATTCTGTGAGTAGAAATAGTAAACATTCATTTCATATAAACTATTAAATTTAGTTTGTCTAAAAATTATATTTTTTACTCTTGTTATATTTGAGAGTCAAATAAGTTTGATGCATTTCGGCAATATCATTATTGTCTTATGACCTAGAGATGCATATTTCACATGAAAGACTTCAGATGAACATAAACAGTCTCCAATGGGTACGTGTGAAACGATTTCAGCTCACATGTCATAGTCAATATAAAAATCGATATTCTAGCTATTAGGATATATGATTTAGAAGCATTTCTGGTGGACAATCTTGGCACCGTGTTCATCGTATTCTGCCCTTGAGATCCACATTTGCTGGAAGGTAGAAAGGGAAGCCAGGATGGATCCACCGATCCAGACAGAGTACTTTCTTTCAGGGGGAGCGATGATCTTGATTTTGATTGTGGATGGGGCCAGTGAGGTGATTTCTTTTTGGATACGATCACCAATACCTGGAAAATAGAAATACATAATGTATCGTTAATCCGAGGGAATTAAATAAGACTCAATACCTTAGTAAAGTTGAATAAAAACACAGAAATCAGAGAATACCAGGTTTGGTAATAAGTGATAGTCTCTTACGAATGAGAAAAGGTTAAATGCCTTAGAAATATCCACTTTTAGTACAATATCGGCTAGTTATTAGATTAGTGTAGAGATTTTTGGTCTCTAACAACAATCCCCTCTCCTTTTACGCCTATAGGGTGTTAGGGTGTTTACGACTGCTGCAGCGGATAGTGAATTGCCCGGATAATGGATACCAGATATCCGGTTCGTTAGTAGTAGTAGGAGTAGTAGTAGAAGTAGTAGTAGTAGAGAGGCAAATCCAGGCAAGTTAGCCATCTTTGGCCCTTTTTGGCGACCCCGATTGTACCAACACTCTTCATATATTGATTCACTAAACTGTCGAATCTTCCTGACCTTCATTAGTCAATGTCCGACCATTCCGCTGATAAAGCAACTTCACCAACAAATTCCGCGGCCCCTAATATCTCAGCCCGTAGATCGCAAAATACGGGGCAATAACCCATAAAGTGAAATTCTGTTTCGTCCTCCCAGTACGTGATGTTGGGCACCTTTGAAAGGAATAAGTGCCTGTTCATTCTGCAGTGGCTGGTGAGAACCCCCCCCCCAAAAGGTTGAGTGAGTTTCTACCCCTGTCCAGTAGTCAACCCGTCCGACATTTGTCGGAGCCCGCTATGAACTTCTTGGCCTGTCTGCATTCATCTTTATCTCTCTCTCTCTCGCCTCGCTCTGTCTAGGTCCCTATAAACCCATTCATTCAGGGCTGTGTTGACCTGGCTCCTGCTTATGCCCAGCCTAGGCTCGGATCCGATGCAAGTGCTTCTGGACCCAGCCTATTCAGGCTATCAGCTTGCTCATTGCCCGGCACTCCACTGTGTCCGGGGACCCAAAACAGGGTCACATATTTAGATCGGGCTAAACTCTGAAAGCCAGTAGTGCATTCCTGAACTAAGAGTGACCTTGTGATCGAGGACGCCACCGCCTTCAGAACTGTTTGTCTTTCGGAGGATATGAATATGCTCCTTTCGGTGCACTGCTGAATTGTCTCTTTGCCTTTGCCTTTCAAGTATATTCCCGCCCCACTGGATTCCGTTTCTTTGAATAAGAATCCATCGGTAGAGCATACGAGACACTGAGGCGGGAATGTTATTTCTCAATTCACCCATTCTGCCCTCAAAGGGAATTGATACACGATCTCGGAATGACCAGCCACCGGTTCTCGCATCTCCCACTTGCCCTCATCGCGCATACCGACATGGCCTCCCGCTTTATACAGGAGTCCAGTGGCGGCAGTCCCAGAATAATGTGAAGGACTGCTGAAGGGGTTGTGTTCAACGCGCCAGTTATCCCCAGCGCCGTCTTTGAATTTTGGCGAGCTTGCGGGAGACCAGGACCTTTTCAATACATGGATACCAGACTACGCGGTCATACTGAAGTCTGCGTGTAAAGCCGATTCAGGCGCTTTGGCCTTAATCCCGAAGCCCTGCCGACTGCTCAACGCAACTGTCAGAAGGTCGCTATCATCTTGTATCCGGCTACTTGGTCGGTTAGCTAGACATTCTTCCAGCAGTGGAGATGATATGCCACCACCTAGCAAAAAAACACATTTTGGAACTGTTCCAGGGAAGTCGCAAAAGCAAACAGCTTGGACTGTGAAAATGTCTCTCAAAAAATCCTATTGCTAGAGAACATTTATCTGGAAACGCTAGAATTAAGCGAAGTGACAAACCATTTACAAGGTGGACAGTCAATAATTGTAAGTAATATCCAGTCTGTCACAGTATATCTCTCTTCTCCCTGTAGCAGCGTATACAGTGAGAAGATTGTCTTCCATAGCTGGCATATTGTACAAAGAGTGGCGAAACCATCTTTGCCAGCAAATGCAGAAGTACTTGCATTCATAAACCGCAGTTCGCTTGTAGTAAATTTCATTTACTAAATCAGTGATGGTGGCAGATTTTTTTTTTGATGTTTGTTTTACTTGATATAAAAGAGGGCTACTCTGTGATTCACTTTGATCTCAAACATTTATTGGTTCAGTTTGTTTCTTAATACAAAAAACATTTTACTCTCTGAAAGCTGATTGTAGCAATAAGATAAAAATTACTATATTTTGCGTTTTTTGTTCTACTATTATTCTGCTTTCACCGGATACTCAAATTAGTATTTGGTATCTGGGCGGACAATAAATTGTAGCCGGATAACCGAATCCTTCAAACTTTATGTGATAGACTTTTAAATTATGTAAAAGCTGGAAAGCACAATACCCGCCAAGGCCCAAGGGCATTGTCGTTCAACCTAGTTGTAGTGGAGAGTTATGTGAAGGTGATGAGAAAAACTGACTCAGTAACTGGAACTACAAACTAACGGATCATGACTTGCGTAATGCTTAAACTATACAGGGGCTCTCTAACGCATGCACCAAAAAGCGATCACAGCTAAAACCATTAAAAATATCAGAATTCAATGGCTTACCTGGATACATCGTAGTACCTCCAGAAAGTACAGTATTGGCAAACAAGTCCTTACGGATATCAATATCGCACTTCATAATGGCTTTATAAACTTCCTCATGAACACCAAATGATTCCATGCCGATTAATGATGGCTTGAACAGAGTTTCTGTGCATCTGAATCTGGAAAAGATCAGAAATGGGTGTCATTTTTTATTATATAAGTTATCTTTTAGACTAGATTCAATTTAATGTTGACTTTGAAGCCATTGATAGATGGCGTAGACCTGCAGCTCGTAATATAAGTTTTACTATTTGCACTATTTTGGTGATCAATTGACGTCACTTCTGCGAAAGGTAGAGCTATCTCCACAATGCACTGATGCAGAATGTTGACACGTGTATCGCTGTGCTTCTGAAACCAGGAGAAGTCATACATATGATCCGCTATGATAATTTTGAGAGATGATTTAAGTGAATTTCTATATTCATAATATCATGACAGTATTGAAATTATCATATGTCAAGTGTCATATCAAATGTATGACGCCCAGGCGACATCGAAATTCAGTTGGAATCTGGCTCCAGATGTTGTAAACTTCTATATCGTTCAACTCAGAAAAAAAAATATTTCCATTGATCTCAAGCACTAACACAGTGACGGTCTCATCAATGTTGATTTAGTAAAAGAACGGATCTAGGTATCGGCACCAAACACCTTTTGTCAGTGCATTGTTTCCTTAAGCCGCACGTCACTACGTCACTACAAAGCTCACTAGCTTCAATCTGCCTCAAAATCAACATAATGGCATTCGTAAGCATTTTAAATAAAAAATTTTGTTATTATCTTGCATACAAAATGATGAATAATCCTCCTGATCCTATATTCGTATACCTTTCACTTCCAATTGTGATGACTTGTCCATCAGGCAGCTCGTAGTTCTTTTCAATGGTTGTAGATGTTGTCGCGTTTTTCAACTCTAGATCATAGTCCAGAGCGACATAGCACAGCTTTTCCTTGATGTCTTTGCAAATCTCTCTTTCAGCAGTGGTCGTGAAGGAGTAACCTCGTTCGGTGAGGATCTTCATCAGGTATTCGGTGATATCACGACCTGAGAGGTCCAGACGCATGATCGCGTGAGGAAGTGCATAACCTGCGGAACAATAGTATTGAGAAATAAGGAAAAAGTTTGATATGTGAGATACTCTCTATATTCTTAGCTAGCGACCTGAAAAACCACACTATGTCAATTTTTGGATCATTCAGTTGCAGCTTAAATCAATGCAAAACAAAACTGTTTTTCCCAAAAATTTCACCGAAATCAAACGAGTACGTTTTGTAGCAAAATCCCTCCCAAAAAATATACTCAGTGACAAAGAAATACAACACAAAAATAGAACACCCAGTAAAAATGTTTTTGAATGAAATTTTGTATACAGTTACGCTAAGGGTGTCTTTTAAGTTTTGCATATAGAAACATAGCAGGCCGCGCGGATCGAACGTCAGTACTGAATCTTAACCCCACTCTTTAGTAAACTTAAATTCAAAGTTTCACAACAATACGTGCAGTGTTCTCACTACAGTGAATTAATAATTATTATTAATAATTTATAACAACTTTCAGAGACAATTATCGCAACAAGAATGCCTTGCTGAGTTACTGTCTGTTTTCGGCAACGAAGCGCCACATCAGGCGACAATTTCCCGTTGGTATGGAAAATTGAAATGTGGACGGGTGAGTCTGGTGATGAATCGTGGATTTACTGTTATGAACCAGAAAATAAACGACAGTCGGCTGTTTGGGTGTTCCAAGGTGAAGAAAAGCCATCAGCAGTCATCCGTTCTCGAAGTGTTTCGAAAAAGATGGTCGCGACATTTGTATCAAAAGCGGGTCATATCGCAACAATTCCTCTTAATGAGCAAATAACTGTTATTGCGGATTGGTATACCACCATCTGTTTGCCAAAAGTCATCACCGAGGTTCGAAAAATCAACCCCGAAAGAAGAATTCCACCAAGACAATGCAAGCTTGCACACAGCCCAAAAAACAAGACAGTATTTAACGGAAGAAAACGTGGAATTAGTCCCGATCTAAGTCCTAGCGATTTCTTTACTTTCCCGAAAATTAACAGACTGCGTGGTCAAAGGTTCCCGTCACCAGAAGAAGCAGTTGACGCATTCAAAAATGCCGTTTTGGATCTACCAGCAAACGAGTGGAATAAGTGCTTCGAAAATTAGTTCGAGCGCATGCAGATGTGTATTAATCTTCGTGGAGGATAATACTTCGAAAAACAATAAAGTCATTTAAAACTGTTGTTTTATTTCCATATGCAAAACTTAAAAGACATCCCTCGTACACATAGGCAACAGGTAGTCGCGATTAAGTTTTAAAATGAATATGTCTGATGTGTCGCTGAGTTTCCCTAATAATGTTAATATTATACAGGGTGTTTCATAACTTATCCGACAAATTTTAACTACATATGCACTATTACGAAAGAAGTTGATTTTTCTTAAAAAAAATGTAATAAAACTACTACAGAAATTAAGTTATAAACCTGAGTTTGAATAATAAATTGAAAAATAAATATCTGTATTTTGCGTTCATCGTCGTGATTTTAGAACAAGCATCAATAATTTATTGTAGCAAATGTTGTACCAAACAACTGACGAAAACAAAATACCAGGATTTTTTTGTCTTTTCATACTGATAAGAACTTGTAACTAAGGTTTAATATGTATCGTGGGTGAACTGAATGAAGAACGGTCGATTTTTGTAAAGTTAAATAAGAAAGTATTTTGCGAGTTTATGTTTTTAGTTATTTAGTAACAAAAATGCCACATGTCTACACTAATGAGGAGTTAGTGGACATTGTTTTAGCGTACGGAGAAGCAGGGCAAAATTCGCGAGCGGCTTCTCGTTTGTATGCACACCGATTTCCGAATAGGCACATACTACATCACGAAACATTTAGTTCATTTGTTTTACGTGCACGTGCTAGTGGAGATTTGCGCCCCAGACGTGGAGTGGATGAGGGTCGGGTTCGCCCACAACGCGTTTTAAATGTCGAAGACGAAATTTTGGATATTGTGGAAGAAAATCCGGGAATAAGCACAAGGTAGTTAGCCCAAGAGGTCCTAGAAGTGTCAGATGCAACAGCGTGGCGCGTATTACATGAGGCCGTTATCACGTCCAGGGAGTTCAGACGTTGCTACCTACAGACAGTACAGACTACTCCCTAAGAGTAAGATTTTGTAAGTGGTTGTTGCAAGGAAATGCTCGAAATGCCCGTTTTACAGCTGATCTTTTCGCCACCGATGAAGCTATTTTTGCTCGTATTGGGATAACCAATCTTCATAATACACACGTTTGGTCCTTTGAGAATCCTCACGCAGTGGTCCAGACACACTATGGCCAGATCGGATGGAAGGTCACCAGTATTTGGAATTTCTTCGGAACGATTTGCTGGTCCTTCTTGAAGATGTGCCATTGGCGGTCAGGTGGTTTCTGCACGTTGGGAACCTCGGCATTTTCGCTTAGAAGTTCGTGATATTTTGAAACAGGTATACCAGATACACTGGATCGGAAGGTGTGGGCCAATTGCATGGCTTCCACTTTCTCCCGATCTAAATCCTCTGGACTTCTTTGGATAAAGATACTTGAAAAACGAGGTATACCGTACTCCAGTTCAGAATATTGAAGAATTGCGTAACCGAATCACAGTGGCTGCCGATAATTTGAGCTTTCAGGCACAGCAGGAAGGAGGTGTATTTGAATTAGTGCTTCGAAATTGGATTAGATGCGCCCAAGCTTGCATTTCAGTCAATGGAAACAATTTTGAACAGCTTTTATAAGTAAGAGAACTGTTAAACTGTATTATTTTATTATCTCGATTTCTGTAGTACTTTTATTACATTTTTTTTTGAGAACTCAACTTCTTTCGTAACAATGCATATGTGGTTAAAATTTGTCGGATAAGTTGTGAAACACCCTGTATACATTCGTATAGTCGTCGAGACATGCTTCCGAGGAGGGGGTCCATGTTTTCTTGAAGTATGTGATCCCTGGATGTACTTTGTCCCTAAAAGCTATAGCTTTTGTGGAGGATGCGGTTACTATGTGAGGTTACTCTTCCTTCCATCATATCTCACACATGTCCAGTCTGGTCAGTTTAAAGGATGAACCTCCTTATTTACCTCCGTTGGAGTGTTTTTTTTTCTGTAAACTTAACTTTCCTGGCATCTCGGGGTAATCATTTCAGGTACCCAGAATTCAATTTTAAGTTGGCGATAATAATTCCATAGCTTTTATACTATTTCTTCGAAGTATTTTCCCTCGGTAGCCTGCACACTCCAGGAGCATTAGTGGTAGAGTCACACACTTGTGCGACACGGCCTCTTTTAATTTGATTACCCAACTTCCTGCATATGTAATTTCATTCAAATCATTTTAGTGGGTGTTCTATTTTATTTGTCACTGAGTATTATTGACCAATAGCTATACAGGGCGTGAAATAAATTGATTGTTCTCCATGGATACCATCACCTGAGGCCCCAATTGGTTACTATTCTATATTCAGGGGCTTGCACCTCCGTAGGGAGACCCGTAGGAAATTGCTTATAAGAACTTGGGTTCCTTGGGTTCTACAGATACCCAAGAGATTCAAGGACGTTTGTATACACAGATCATCTGCCCATAGACCCGCAATTTGGTAGAGGCTTTTTTGAACATTTGTTACAGTTCTGAACTTATGAAAACCTACATATTTAATTGGTTCTAATGAAACTTTGTCTCAAGCCCTCGCAGAGTTTCTAAGTAAGATGGTGGACATACCTTCATAGATAGGGACCACATGTGACACACCATCTCCAGAATCCGTTACAGCACCGGTGGTACGACCAGAAGCATAGAGTGCCAGCACTGCTTGAATGGCTACGTACACCGAAGGGTTGTTGAACGACTCAAACATGATCTGAACCATCTTCTCTCTGTTCATTTTGGGATTCAAAGGAGCTTCTGTTAGTAGAACGGGGTGTTCTTCTGGAGACACGCGCAACTCGTTGTAGAAGGTGTGTTGCCAGATGGTCTCCATACCCTCCCAGTTGGTGATGATGCCGTGTTCGATGGGGTAGTTTAGAGTCAGAATACCTTTAAGTAGAAAAATATATTAGCTTTGAATAGTTCGTTTCGATATTGTATTGATGCAACAATGATTTTTATTTTTTTTACACCGAAACAGCCGCACGGGCAGAAGCCTAAATGCCAGGTCACCGCGGCTCCTATGAGGATCTCAAAGAAACTTTGTTAATCCGATTTTTGAACTGTCTAAGGTTAGTAGAACTGGGAAAAGTCTCCTCTTGTAGATTGTTGCACAATCAGGGACACAGGAGCGCTCGTATTGACCAGTTCTGCATGTACGAAGTTTGACACGGTTAGGATGGGAGCCCGAAGTCAGGCGAGTCTGTCTGGCAGGCACAGGTGGTATCATGGAGGAGAGCTCTCAGGAGCAAAGCCCGTTGGTGTAGCGGTAGAAGAGACCTAGATCGCCGACGGCCCACCAGTGCCAGTGCGAAAGGGTCCCGAGACTGTCTGTTAAAGAAGATGCACCGACCATGAATAATGTAATCGGGGCTGCAGCACCCCAAACGTGAGAGCCTCTCTCGAGACTAGGTCTTATCCGGGCCTTGTATAGAGTGAGGAGGTCATGTGGAGAAAAGTACTTCTTCGCCCTACACGTGTGCGCAATGAACTTAGACCGGGCCTACAAGGTACTCGTTAGAGAAAAAAGATTGGCCCTATCTGAGACATAAGTTTTGAAAGGTGTAGGTTTCAAGCAATTATAGCAAATACAAATACATGGTACACTTCCAAATTACATTTTTCTATTTTTTATTATATTGAGCTGCCGACAATTGTTTTGGCATATCAGAATATTATCGGAAGAATCAATGATTGTAAGGCGTAGGCGAAAAGCGGTTTTGGGGCATAACAAATCTTCATTTGTACTTCATTTCTGTAAATAGAAAGTTTCTTGAGAGGTTTGGAGTAGCTGAACGATTTGTGAGTCAAAATGATTTTTGGATGAGAGTTCATAGTCGGAAGATGCTTTCAACAGCTGATTTGTTTAGGTGTCTCGGAACAAGTATTAATTATTTTTAGAGTTAAGCTTTGGCAGTTTTTATATATATGGAAAAAATTAAGAATGTGCTACTTTTATCCACTGCAATCAAATAAAATCGCAAGTAACAGTTAGAGTATTTACTTTTTCTTTCATCTAGCTCGCTCTATTTTTTTGTTACACCGAAGTAGCCGCGCAGACAAAATATAAATGACGGGGCACCGAACTGCCTAAGGGTATTAGAACTGGGAAAAGCCTCGTCATACAGATTGTTCCACAATCTCGATATCCTAGGGACAAAAGAGCGGTAGCATCGGTCCGTTCTAGATGTGCGACACGGGAGGCTGGGTCTGTCTGACAGGTAAATCGCGCAGCGACATCATGGAGGAGAGCTGTGAGGAGCAAAGCTCATTGACTTAGCGGTAGGCGAAAGCTAGATCGCCGACTGCCAGTCGGTGCGAAAGCATCTCGAGACTGTCTGTTAGATAAGAGTCATCGATCAGTCGGTCAGCGCTCCTCCAAACAGCATTGAATATGGATAATGTAGTTTATTTTATGTATATAGCTACCTCTCCTTGTTTGAGCTTCTTCACCTACGTAGGCATCCTTCTGACCCATACCAACCATGACACCCTGGTGCCTGGCTTTGCCCACGATGGAAGCGAATACGGCTCTTGGAGCATCATCTCCTGCGAAGCCAGCTTTGCAGACACCGCTGCCATTGTCGATCATCAGTGCTGTTACGTCGTCGTCACACATCTTGATTGGCTGTTGCTGCTTTCACTTGATCAGTTACTGGAAGAGAAACGTAGGCACATTAGTCTAAACAACTGGTACTCACGAAGATGTTGGCGAATTTTTGCAAACTCATTATGATGTTACAGATTCCGACGTACTCTCTTTCCGAGATTTTAGCTTGATCCATTTGAGCTATGAATATTTGTTACAATGTATGTAGGATCGAATTACTATTTTTTGTGAGATGAATAGCTTTAACGTACAGTTTGCTCTAATAATGCTCATCAATTTTTCATAAAAATATTTTTTTATTCTAACCATGGTTACTTTTATGAAGTAATGCTTCAAAGGAACTGAACCGTCCAGTAACAGCTACGGGAATTGGTTTGTTAGGAAATACATATAACTTTGCGAGGCCTGTATGCCCAAATTATTCATCACAAATAAATTGTAGTGCGTTTTTAGCTTTGTAATTTCAAATATATTGCGAAACACTGTGCAGGGTGTCCGCAAAATTGGGACTTTCCTTTACACGTCGAATGTATCTTGAAAAAACAAGCAGTCTTACTAGTAGCATATACAGGGTGTCCCAACGAAAGCAGTTTTATGAGCAAACTAGAAGAGATATCAAAAACATTTTTTCGTGACAACCTTGATATGTTACTAGTGCGTGTTTCAAAATAATTTCAATATATACAGTGCCATAGCAAACATATCTTTTTGAATAGAACACCGTATATTTTATTACATATTTGAATACAGCTTCTAAGAACAAGAGAGCTTCTAAGAACAAGAAGTATGATATCTTATAACATATGGTTTCTATTGTCAATTGTTTAGATATGTATTTGGTCAAATGTCTGAAAAATGCCCAGATTTGAAGGCTTTCAGCTCCTCCATTTTTGATAAATCTCAATCACAAAATGTACCTTTTCTCAAAAATTTCAAAAGGAAAACCCTGTACATTTTCTCATAGTTAAAAAGTTTTCTTGGTGATTTTTTTCTGAGTTTCTGCTAATAAGAAGAAAAAAAACAAATACTTCTTGTGTTTAAGCATAAAATCAAATCTTCTATCAAAACAATAGCTTTTATTAACACTTGTGTTATTATATTGTACGTCTAAAAGGATTTGTCTAGGTAACTAGGTATGCGTTTAAACGACTTGCTTAGACGATGTTTCATGTCATGTAGGTTTCTTCTGGTAAATCTTTCCCTTTACTTAGCCAGAGGTCCAGAGGCATCAGATCGGGAGATATCACTGGCCAGTTGATTGGTCCTCCTCTCCCTACCCAACTATTAGGGCGTCAACGGTCTAGATACGTACACACCTCTCGATGGTAATGTAGTGGGAAGAGTCATGTTGGTACTATGAATTTCTTCTAGTTACATTTACATCCTCCAGTGAAAGAGTCACCTGACAGTACTCCTTGGAAATAGTGTGGTCCAATAATTTTATCACCAATGATGCCAGCCCACACATTTAGTGACCATACATTTTAGTTGTCCATTTGTCATACCCAATGCGGATTTTCTGGTGCGTACTAATGCACACTGGCGATTCACGAGACCATTGTTCTTAAATGTTAATGTTAATATGGAATGGATGAGCGTCCTGCCGATCGCAATTTTTTGAGATATCAAATTGCAAAATGTGACTCGATTGCTGAAATCATCCTCGTTGAGGTATTAGAGTAACGTCAAATGGTACGGCTAGTACATATACTTTTCCGTAAGACTGTTAACAGTTGACTTGCTAACTTCTATCATCTAACGCAGTCTTGTTGTGCGAAAAAAATTCATTGTTTTCATGGAAGATCTGATTTTAAGTCTAAATGTGGAATATATTTTTTTCTTGGAATCGATAGCAATATCTCGAAAACTGTGAGAAAAAGTGGAATAAACCGCATATTAAAAAAAAAGTTTCCTGGAAAGCTATTTAATGATGTAGAAATATATAAGGTGTTCAATTTGAAATTTATGAGAAAAGGTACATTTTGTGTTTCGAGATACCCTGTGCAAAAAGAAAGATATGTAGGCAGTTCTTTCAGTTCAACGTAAAATCGAGAATTATAAAAAATTATGAACTAAAAGTTGGGCATTTTTTTCAGATATTCCACCAAACATCTAAGCAATTGACAACCGGAGACCGAAGCCATATGTAATATGATATTAAACTTATTTTTGAAAGTTCTATCCAAATCAAGGTTAAAACGAAAACAGATTTTTAATATCTTTTCCTGTTTGCTCACAAAACTGTTTTCCAATTCTGTTGGGACTATACTTATATTCAAATCTTAATATAACCGAGGCTCCTCAAAGTCAATCAAACCTAAGCCATACCTAATCCGCTCCTGTATCTCCATCAGATAACAGTGAGATGGCACGACGTACTCCAGCACTCAACCCAGGTGATGGCAGCAAAGGTAAACAAAACATTTTCGAAAAGAAAAGCAAAATGACGCACTCGTTCAGCAATATCGAAAACTTGTTAGTATGATTTGATTTAGGGTGAGCGTCTTCAAAGTGGCTAGACAAGTGCAAGTATCCGAGGTGGTAATCGCTGCGTTGTGATGGATTGTTATCTTTTTGTATAAGCCCTCCAAGCTGAAGATTTTCCTGCAGGAGTGCGTTTTGTGAGTGGTTATTGCAGTCCATATTAGTGACGGGCGATTCAATTTTGACGAGTAGCGGGTGAATAACTTCCGAAATATTCATGTGTGGTCATTGGTAAATCCTCATTGGACATTTTATTTTTTCGAATCGTCTGGACGGTTTACAATACCTGGACTTTCTACGAAACATTTCTCTGCAAATAAACGGTGAGCACCTTTTAACTTTTTTATTTTTTTACTTTTTCGCTAGTTTTTGACCACGCATCTTTGTTATTTCAAGCGTAGTTGTTTCTGAAAAAGAAAGTCTCAAATTTCAGGATACCCTGTATTTGATCACCAAGTGTCCAATATCGAGAGAGTACATCTGGCAACGTCGTCCCTCCCCGATACCTGACGACGCAACGCGTGATACGTGGCACGCTCGTGATACTAGATAGCAGAAGCAGTGACATATCGAAAGCATTTTGCTATCATTCTAAGTTTTAAGGGCAAATATCCAGTAATTGTTGGTTATCAGAGCGGTCCGAGGGACCTTAGCTCTTGAGTCACAGTGTCAATTTGCAAGTCTGTCAGGTCTGGTAACCCAGAAACCAGACAATTTTAAGAAAAAAAGAAAAGGAAGAAGAGAATCTTTTAGGATAGGAAGCATTGTTAAAATTATTTAACAAGTCTTGATATGGTCCAAAAATATTTGATTTTTCTAAGGATTTTGTCAAAATGATCCAATTTGAATTGTTCTGAATTCACGAATTAATTTTGATTACAAAGCGAGCCGCGGCCAAGGCTCGGAACATTCGCGCATTCTAGCATCAAAAACGTGAGGTAACCCTCCCTCAATTTAGAACTTCTATGAATTTTCAGAAATGATCAGGATTCTCTGAAACGTCAAAAAACGAAGTTGGTGCAACTTTTATTTTTTTATTTTCGTTCTCAGCATAGTAGTTACTTTGTGTGAAAATTTTACTCCTTGCCAAGTTGTAGACGGGCCAAGGTTTAGCGGACAGGCAGACCGAAAGACAGATCCGCAGGCAGACCGACAGATAGACCGATAGACAAACAGGCTGACGAAATGAGTGACATGGTTTTTCGTGATGTACATGTCACATAACATCCAAAAAACATAATATCTCGTTTTCGAAATTTCTCGCAATTACAATACTTTTTCACCAGTGGGCGTGGGAGGTAAAATCGCTAATGATAGATTTTATTAGCTGATTTTTAGTTAGCAGACGATATTTCTCAAACAATTTCGCCATTGAAGTGCTCGAATTGATATTTAAATGTGTTTCGAGTGTGCTTGTACAAAATCTTATAAACAAAATATAGGTAAGGCTGTAGGTGGAGCATTAGGTATTTTTTAACAACAGGCAGGTATCATATTCCGTGCTAAGCAATCATAAGGTTTATGTGTGTATTTTGTTCATAGTAGTGTAAAATAATCACCGAAGAAATATCGCCAGGACCTGCTTTGATTCAATTTTGATCTTATGCGATATACTGAAGTCAGAGTGATCCAGACTCCAAAATATTTCTATGAAGTTGTACTGGACTGGAGAATTAAATTAATTACCGCTTCATAAATCGCTCACAGAAATGTGAAAGTGTTTAAATAGCAAATACCTCTAGAAGATTATAATTATTTTACAGTTTAAATAAGTTCCTGTTATTCTTGGTATTTTTACAATTTGTAAATATGGACTACTACAGATACGTTTAAAATTTAAGAAAAATGAAATGTTTTACTGATGAATAGTTATTATGATAAATCTATGAACGCTAAGGAATGTAGCAACTAACAGAAAATAAATCGGTTCGGTTAAAATATACATTAAGGTAACATGTTACTAATTTGTAGCATCTACCATATTGAATTTAGAATGGCGATTGTGGCATTAAGTGTGAGATCGTTTGGTGATTTGACAGCATAGTTAAACTCACCACAACTGAACACAGTCACCACCACAACACGATTCCACTGCTGAATACACACACAAAATTAAAATAATGAACTACTACTAACTTGTTGCATGGAGTAAGCGATGGAAAGTTTTGAAACAATGATCTCGCCAGCTGTTTTATAGCATCACGATGTTCGTTGGAAGTTTGGGGGTAGCCAACAGGAACTTCACTTGCTTTTTTTGCTCATATTCGGCTTCGTTTTCCCCTCCACAGGGACTCCCGTTTAGAGATGTGCTTTCTCTGTTGAGACGTTACTTTGACCCGTATGCTATGTTAGACTGCGACAGCTTTCCTTAAAGCACGAAATCAAAACTCGTAATAGTTTATTAGTCGAAGAAAGGATGCTGTGGCAGCAGAAATGTTAGCAGTCATCAGTTCATTATGGTGATTTTATTTAAGGTAATGATTACATTTAGGACAATGTCAATTTGCCAATTTCAGACCTCATTGACATGAATGGCAATTTGTGACCTTATCAGGTTTTTGCTTTCTTTTTGACTCTAAAATCTCACGGGATGCATCAGTCCCGAGATCCCTTGCGATCCAGCATTCTTAATATAATAATATTTTAAAAGCTAAGATGTTTTACTCTACGTCATGGCTGTAGATTGGTCAAAATTTCCCTGCAGTCCAAGTGATCCTTACCTTAACACTACTAGCGCCAAGCGAAAAAAACCTGTCTACCCGTTGAGGCCAGCCTTTTTTCAGTAGGTCACACCCCCAGGCCAGAAGTGTTTTTTAATTTCTTTATTCAGATAAAGTATATACGGATGATGTTGAATAAGTATTAGCCCATGTGAAGAGCAAATTTTGCCAAAATGGCAAATGTATCAAATCTATACATGTGGCCTCGTGGTGTGACTCTCGAATTTTCTCAACCCCACGCCACGTGTGTACATTCGATACATATTTCCATTCGTATACATCTTATGGAAATTTCAAACTAATTGGGGAAAAATGATAAAAAGACAACTTCAGTGATATTTATACAATATATTTACAAAGAACAAAAATTGTGGAAAACAGAAAATAGAATGAAATTATCGTTTGCTTGGCACACAGTTGTGTGTTAGAAAAAAACAATCAATGCACATAAACTTATGTGTGCATGAAACACATGAGGTTTTAACTTGTTTGCTGAGTGTTGTGGCCTTCTTTGAGTCGAATTGCTTTTGGAACTTGTCGTAGCAAACCACGCAACGTCCTCTTTTTGGGCGATTTTCAGTCAATCGGTGTTTATGATGTAGTTGTTGGGGAGTCAGCAGTGCCTGCTCATCTAAGGTTCTTAGATTTTCCAATATTGCTGTCACGATTTCCTCCCTAAACCGGACAATTGTTATTTTTTTCCTTACCACCAGTGTATACAATCTGTGACTGTTTACAACTGCGGTGTTTGTTAGGAGATCAAACGCAAGTTTTCTATGCCATTTGAGGCCTTTACGCAGTGGACTGCAGTAACCTGCCATCTGGTCTGACAAATCTATATAACCTTTAGCAGAATTGTAATCCACTATGGTCGAAGGTTTTTGCATTCTTCTTCCTCCTCTGCTTTCAATCTCCACTAAATGCGGCACTTGTTTTGTAGTCAAGAAAAGGACATCTCTTTTGTCCTTCCATTTTCCAATAATGATTTTTTTCTCACTATGTTGCAAATATTTCATATCCCCTCGCCTAAGTTTTGCTTTGGTAACTCCATGTGGGTTATGTTTTCTATTCACTCTAAGGGTACCGAGTAAATGGGTTTTTCTTTTCAAAAGTTCTTCTGCCAATTCAACACTTGTATAAAAGCTATCAGTAAACAGGGTTCTCCCTTGGTCCAACAATGGCTCCATCAGTTCCATAGTAGTTCTAGTGGTAACAGTGAGATTTCCAGAAGAGGCTTTTCCTGTGTATACTTTCGCGTGCCAAGTGTATCCACCCAACAGACACACTTTGTAAACCTTCAAACCATACTTGTGGCGCTTACTTGGAATGTATTGGCGAAATTTTATTCGCCCTCTGAACGGAATCATCGACTCATCTATGGTAATTTTTTCTCCAGGTTCAAACATTATGGAAAATTTGTTGTTCAGCAAGCGGAGTAAATGTTCGATTTTGTACAGTGTGTTGTCTGGAGATGCCATTTCATTATCAGCAAAGTGGATGAATCCCAACAATAATTCAAACCTATTTCTACTAATATAGCAACTGACATCATTTTTGTACAGAATATGTTTCTTCCAATAGTCGCGAATTTCGGGTTTTCGGTCTAGTCCCATCCATAGTAAAAACGCGATGAAGATTTTCATTTCCTCCCTGTTTGTATCAGTCCAAGCATTATATCTACTCCCAGTAGTAATTTCTTCTCGCGCAATGAGCTTACAAAGTTCCTGGGTGGCATAGAGGTTTGTATTGGAGACAATTAGATCCATAATCTCATCATCAAGAAAGAGATTATAAAAATCTAGCGGTGTTTTTTCGGTGTGCTCTAAGAGCATCAAACAATGTTGAGAAACTGCGTTTGTCTTGTTGCAATCAAAATTGAAAAGATCACATGATGGTTCTGACCAGCTCCTTTCTCCTTGTGCCTCTTGAACACCCGCTTCAAGTACGTCATCATCTTCATTGCCATTTGTCTCGACTTCACCTTCAAGGGCTTCATAATCTTCATCATCGTCCTCAGATGAATCCTCCACTAAAACAACAGTAACGTAAGGTAAATCTCAGATCTAGCGTGAATATGTGAATAGGTGAATAGGACATACTAATGAATTATGTGTGATAAATTTGAAGGTTACCGGTCAATAACGTACACCTACTATGAAAATGAATATTTGACGTTCGTAAATAACGTAAATAAGAATCATACTTACAGCTACTCCCGCTACTACGTCCGTCGTCATCGTTTCCTTCAAGAATTGCGACCAACTCATCGTCTGTATATACTTTTCTACCCGACATCATTTATAACATAAGTACACAAACGTACGAGAACACAACTGACTGAATAATGCGACAACACGATTAGCACGGATAACAGTAGGGGTTGGTTGTTATTTATCAATGCACATAGGCAACCAGGATACCACGGAATAGCAGTTTGCTATTTTATACTGTTATTTTAAAAAGTTATTCAAAAATAGCATCAACAGTCATAACAGTTATTTCAAAATAACCATATTTCCCGTCTCTAGATAACAGCATCCGCAGTGGAAGAACATAAACGCGTTATTTGGAAAAACCTAGTGTTAAATTCGAATTGACAAACATATATGTCCAAAGCAAAGGATATCGTTAGTTGGATACTCTTTGCCAAAACCATGTGGCTGGCTTTGTTGACGTTAAGGCTGGTCTACATCAATGCTTGTTGAAATCACAATCGTAGTTGCAACGATTATTATAAGAGTTGAATACGAATTTCTTATCAGTGCGTTCCTAAAACATCATCATAATCATAAGAGCACATAAAATTCAGGTTTTATGTTTATGCTTTATGATTTACATCAATTGGGATTGTACATAGGTGTAGACCAGCCCTCACGTCAAAAAGTATCAGCACAGTCTCAGAAAAAACCTTCTTCATCCTCCCCCTCCTTAATTTTTCGCCCGCCAAAGAAAGGATGTACAGTACGAGGCCATTCAAGGTTGTTTTACCATTGAAAGTAAGCTAAACCATGTATCGAGATGATACAGAAGCTTTTAATGCAACCCTTTAGTGTTGTATCATTCTGATACATATGGCCTCCCACTGTAAAGCAAATATGTATCGAATCTATACATGTGGCCTCATTATGTAAACTCAATTTGTATCAGATAGACACATATGGCGCTATAAGGGTTAAGAGAGAAGCCAATGACTACACAGGCCCACAAAGTAAAAAAAAAGTGATGTGTGCTTGTGGTTCCACCATATTTTTCCCATGTACCTTTTCAGACTGAACACCAGGCTAGAATCAAAATTTGGCAGTGGTGGACACATAAGAAAATAATTCAGGCATCAAGATCACACATTTTTTTCATATTTATCCGTCTTCCAAAAATTTTGACTCCAGATTCGTGTTCATCGTGAAAAAAAAAATGAAAAACATGGTCGGACTCCCAACGTAACCACTTTTTTATTTTGTGAGCCTGTGTTATTATTCATGTTCACTACCGCTAAATAAAGAAATTAGAAGCATACCGGCCACCATGAGCAGCCGGCGCACAGGCCGGATAAACGAGCTCTTATGCACCCTACATTCCCTAAGCCTCAAGCTCCACTCTTCTAGCAAAGTTGAGTATAGCCCTGACTCCCAGGTCCTTAACATTCTGGAGATCCAAAGTGTTGAACCCCAGTTTAGTCTGCCTATAGTACCTCAGAGCCTCACAGCGATACAGAACATGCGCCGAGGACTCTTCCTCTAACCCGCAGCGCTCACACATCGGATCCTCAGCCACCCCCATCACATGCAGGTGGCGCCTCGTCGTGTTATGACCAGACAACAGTCCCGCCATATACCTGAGGTTGGCTCTATCCAAAGATAAGCAAAGGCATCCATCCTGAACACTGGGCCCATCGATGAGCTTCCGTGCGTGACAGGAGTATCTAGAGATGCTTATCCATTTCTGAGAGTGTTGCTCGCTGATCCTGCTTTCGCAAGCGCATCCGCCATATCATTGCCCTTTATTCCAGCCTACCCCGGTACCCACACTAACGATACCAGATGCCTCGCTGCAAGACTATCCAGAGCCTCCCTGCATTGCAATACAAGGTTAGAAGGGATCTTGCAGGCACTTAGTGCTTTCATCGCAGCTTGGCTGTCGAAAGAGATTGTTATTCTTTTCTAAGCCATATCCCCACCAAAATTAGTGATACGCAAGCCAGAATCGCAGGTAAAATAGTGCTGTATCCGCCGACAGGTAAAAGTAGCCTGGTTCTAGTCCCAAAGGGGGCTCCTTCAGTAATCGAGCCGTCCATGAACCAAAGCTGCGTAGTTCCTTGGGAGACCTTCCGGCTTATGGAGTCACACTCCGCATTCATCAGTCCCCATAAAACTTGTGGTTCAAGTTATATTCAGGGTTGATGAAATCACCCCTGCTGAGAAGTACCAGAAATCTTCCTTTACAATTCGACTAAGATGGCAGTGTGACCTTGACAGGATTCAAAAAGGCTCAGATGCCATGACTGTATAGTCGATGTGCGACTACTCTTGCCTCTCCGCGGATCGCTAGATCCAACGGTGGGAAATCCAGCAGAGCTTCCATTGCACTCAATGTCGTTGTCCGCACTG